GCTATTACTAATGAGCTATGAGTCTCATTTAGCTGGCATGTTTATGCTATTACTAATGAGCTATGAGTCTCATTTAGCTGGCATGTTTATGCTATTACTAATGAGCTATGAGTCTCATTTAGCTGGCATGTTTATGCTATTACTAATGAGCTATGAGTCTCATTTAGCTGGCATGTTTATGCTATTACTAATGAGCTATGAGTCTCATTTAGCTGGCATGTTTATGCTATTACTAATGAGAGTCTATGAGTCTCATTTAGCTATGGCATTTATGCATTTATGCTATTACTAATGAGCTATGAGTCTTATTTTAGCTGATGTTTATGCTATTACTAATGAGCTATGAGTCTCATTTAGCTGGCATGTTTATGCTATTACTATTACTAATGCAAGCTATGAGTCTTATTTAGCTGGCATGTTTATGCTATTACTAATGAGCTATGAGTCTCATTTAGCTGGCATGTTTATGCTATTACTAATGAGCTATGAGTCTTATTTAGCTGGCATGTTTATGCTATTATTATGAGTACTATTTAGCTGCATGTTTATGCTATTCTAATGAGCTTAGCATTTAGGCATGTTTATGCTATTACTAATGAGCTATGAGTCTTATTTAGCTGGCATGTTTATGCTATTACTAATGAGCTATGAGTCTTATTTAGCTGGCATGTTTATGCTATTACTAATGGGCTATGAGTCTCATTTAGCTGGCATGTTTATGCTATTACTAATGAGCTATGAGTCTTATTTAGCTGGCATGTTTATGCTATTACTAATGAGCTATGAGTCTTATTTAGCTGGCATGTTTATGCTATTACTAATGGGCTATGAGTCTTATTTAGCTGGCATGTTTATGCTATTACTAATGAGCTATGAGTCTTATTTAGCTGGCATGTTTATGCTATTACTAATGGGAGTCTATTTAGCTGGCATGTTTATGCTATTACTAATGGGCTATGAGTCTTATTTAGCTGGCATGTTTATGATATTACTAATGGGCTATGAGTCTCATTTAGCTGGCATGTTTATGATATTACTAATGGGCTATGAGTCTTATTTAGCCGGCATGTTTATGATATTACTGAGCTATGAGTCTCATTTAGCTGGCATGTTTATGATATTACTAATGGGCTATGAGTCTTATTTAGCCGGCATGTTTATGATATTACTGAGCTATGAGTCTCATTTAGCTGGCATGTTTATGCTATTACTAATGAGCTATGAGTCATTTAGCTGGCATGTTTATGCTATTACTAATGAGCTATGCATCTCATTTAGCTGGTATGTTTATGCTATTACTAATGAGTTATGAGTCTCATTTAGCTGGCATGTTTATGCTATTACTAATGAGCTTTTTAATTATTTCTGCTAGCCATCAAACTGCAGACAGACTGGCCGGCTCTGCCATTTCTGTAGGCAGTCAGTGAATGGATTATGCAAACATCCTTCATGGTATTATAGAGAGGAGGTTTGTAGGATTTCATGGGTACTGCATCCACATCGCGCTGCTAAGAATGCAAGAACTGGGAATAAAGACTGGCATTGCCAGGCAGGAGAGGCACACCAAGGATATGAGAAATCTTGTCAACCAGCACAGGACTGGCACTGTTAACTGTAGGATACTGCTGAATACGTTGCAGGGGAATCTGAGCACCTATGTCCGGAGTGCCAGGAGGATAACACAGCTCATACCTCAGCTAATAAATCTATGAATTCAACTTACAAAATAACTACAAAATATGATAACGATGAATAATAAAAAACAACTAATGAACTATATAATAAGAAAAATCAGCAAATATGGAACATGAATTAGTGACATATCAGAAACAAATATGTGTCAACAAGACAAGCTTACCTGGTCAAATAAAGTCAACAAAGACAAAACATAAATCAGTGACATATCAGAAACAAATGTGTGTCAACAAGACAAGCTTACCTCGTCAAATAAAATCAACAGAGACAAAACATGAATTAGTGACAAATCAGAAAAAAATATGTGTCCATAAGAAAAGCTTACCTCGTCAAATAAAATCAACAAAGACAAAACATCAGAAACAAATGTTCAACAAGACAAACTTTTTTCTTCGTCTTCTTCTCTTCTATTATTAGGCACTATTAGGATTGATGTTCATTTCTATAAAGCATTTCTTTATGCCATCACTCCATCTTTTACGAAGTCTTTACCTCTTTCTATACACATTGTAATGTTTCAGTGTGGATCATTTTGGTAGATAGTACCAGGGCATTCTTATTAGATGTCCAGTTCACTTCATTTGTTGTTCTTTGATGACCTGTAAGACTGGCTTTATTCCTAGCATTTGTCTGATTTCGTATTCTGTCTTTCCTTGAAACTCCTGCAGCACTTCTAAGGTATTTCATCTCTGCTGACACAATTTTACAGTGGATTTCTGTAATGATTCAAGCCACTGTCTTCACACCGAACCTGCCTGAACCCTCTGGATCATACCCATTGAATCACTGAGTATACATATGCGGGTGTAGTTTTGTGTTTCGAGCCAGGCAAATGCTTGCGTCACTGCCATCACCTCCATCGTCATGCTGCTGGTTGTCATGGAGAAGGTGCCGTTGGCTTCTTTGACTGTTCTGCCCGCTGAGCGTGCTGCGAATGTCCATGCGTTTCTTTTTTGGCGTATAACAGATCCGTCTGTGTAGATTAGTGCTTCTGCTTCGTCTAATTTTCACTGATGAGAGCGTTGACCTCTGCATTAACAGCAACAGGATTCTCTTCTCTACATCGCCTGTTAAGTGTGGCAATACAGGAAAATGTACAAATAAACGCCTGAGGCACAGGTAACCATTCTGCACCAGGTATGATGTCGGTTAGGCTGCATATTTGCCTAATAACATCTTCTGCCCAACCTAGCCACGATTTCCCCCTCTGTCAGCCTGTTGTATGTATGTATGTATGTATGTATGTATGTATGTATGTATGTATGTATGTATGTATGTATGTGAGTTTGTTTGTATGTATGTGATTTTTTTATGTATTTTTGTATGTACGTACGTATGTGTGTATGTATGTATGTATGTATGTATGTGTGTGCATGTTCGTGTGTATGTGAATGTATGTGTGTACTGGGTGCCTATGTGTTTGTGTGTAAGTGAGTGACTGGGCTTGTGTGTGTATGTGGGTGTGTGTTCGCGCATGAGCGTGCGCACATATTTTACCACCCATGCTTTTGTTTTTGTCTTCATTTCCATAATATGCATATCAATACATGAATATAACATGCTTTATTGATGAAATACAACTGCTGTGTGAAAGATAGAAGTTTGGAAGGGCCGAATGTTCGTTCGTTCGTCGCCCTTTTCACTAAAAAGTGCTTGATGCAGTGGGTGTTTCTTATCAGCGCATCTTTTAAGGTTTGCCAGAGCCCTCCAGATCCTGATCCTTTGGTTCATATTTGAAAAGTCAAGTAGATACCTCATTGTTCCACAGGATGTGTCTCTTGTACATCCCAAAAAAATGCGCATGGCTGACAGCAGTTTGCCAATCTGATGGTATTTCTTGATTTTTCCATGCCACCTGAAATATTATCTTCAACCATGTTGCTCCTGCTGCTTTGATGGCCTCAGAAGGTAGATCATCAATACCTGTCGCCTTTAGTCTAGAGGTGGTATGAATGACATATTCTACTTCATCTGATAATATACCTGATTCTAGCTTCTCTGCTGTTAGTTCCAAGTTTTGTTTATGTTCTTCCCCGCTTTCATCTGTTTTATTGCAGCTAATTAATGTTTCAAAGTAATTCCTTCACGTTGCTAAAATGTTATTAGGTTCTATTAAAGGCTGGCCTCCTTCACCATTTATAATTTCTCTTGGGTTGCATTCTTTGTTTCTATTTCTTATGCCTTTAACTTTTTTGTAGTAATTTTTTGCTGCTGTTCTTTCTTCTTCAGCCAGCTTGTTTCCAAACTTTTCCAATGAATCTCTGTTTGCTTGTCTGATAGTTGTATTTACTTCTTTTCTAATGATCCTGTATGTTATTTAATCCTCTTCTGTTCTGCTCCTTAGCCAAATGCCACAGGCTTTCTTTGTATTGTGCACTTTCTTATTTCTTCAGACCACCACGATGAGAGCTTACGCCCTATGTTACCTTTCATTTTAGTTCCACATATTTCTTGTGCTATTTTTATAGTGGTGTCCCTGAAATTCACCCATTCTGTATTTACCCCAAGTGTTTTTGTGAAAGCTGTTCATAATTTTCCTGTAATTTTTGCTGAAATGCTCGCTTATTTTCCTCGCTCTAACTCTTTCCATTTTAATTTGTAACTTTAATAACATTTCTTTCTTGTTTGATAACTTATCTTGACTTTTCTGTCCAGTATCACCATCCTATGATCTGTATCTTAACTCAGGTTTGGTATAACTCTCGAATCTGTAACTTCAAGTCTCTTTTTCTCGTCCTGATGGAATCATTCTGACTCTTGGTATCTGGATCATTCCATTAATACCGTGTAAAAACTTGTGAAGCTCTGTGTTGAAAGCAGGTGCTGGTCATGTTGTGCACATGTATGTAATAGTCTTTCCCCATTTTCATTTCTAATGCTGTTGTCTCCATAATTGACTGGGTATCTTGTAAATGTTCTTCTGTCTCGTTCTATCTTACCATTAAAATCACCCATCACGATCAGTTTCTCAGTTGTATCTATCTTACAGATGTTCTCATCCAGGTCTTCAAAGAATTGATCCAAATAGTTCTCCTCACTGTAATTTCCATTGCATGGAACATTTAAGTGACAGAAGACCTTCAAACTATTTCCTACTTGTTATTTCAAGCTGATAATTCTTTCCAAAATGTAGTTAACCTCAACTTACTTACCTCGTTAAATAAAATCAGCAAAAACAAAACATAAATCAGTGACATATCAGGAGCAAATATCTGTCAGCAAGACAAAATTACTTACCTCTTTAAATAAAATCAGCATAGACAAAACATGAATCGGAAACAAATCTGTCAACAAGACATACCTACCTAAAGTTATTTGGCTGTATATGGACAGCCAGATGCCTCTCATATTTGAATTTGGAACTAAAGGATTTGTAACAGTCTGAGTGTGAACACAGGAAGGGAAGCATGTTTGTGTGTGTACTCTCATGGACCCAACGCTGTTCCTGTCTAGAGAACGACTTCTCGCAGTACTGGCAAGGGTAAAACTGCCGCTTCATTTGTGGTGTTTTTTCAACCTGCGATTTTATTTGCTTGGATTCAAGGTTTTTGTTTTTACTGTTTTTTTGACGTCCTGACCCTCGTTTAATTCCTGAAGGCTGGTTCTCTCCGTCATCACCAGAGAACTCTGTGGTTGTTGGAATGAGGGCTGACGGCGGCAGTAGGGTGCTATTTCCTTTTATATCATCAAAAAGTGCGGTACTTTCTGTAGAAGAGCCATCCGCGTTTGAAGAACAAATGATGTCTTCATGTGGAATATTAACAGTGCTTATTTGTGTACATATTTCTTGTTTCTGTAGATCAACTTTTGTTAACTTTTCCTTTGGAGAACCTTCCTCACTCTCCAACAACTTGCGGGGCTTTCCCTTTCTTCGCCTTGTGCCAGGCCCTGAAATATCATCTTCTCCTTCCCCCAGCTCCTTGCAGACATGTGAATCAAGCTGACTAAGGGAAGAAAATGCAGTACCGCATGTGTTGCAAGAAAATAAAGCATAGTTATCCTTCTTGGCACGAACACTGCGTGTTCTCTTTTTCAACACAGATGGTACAGCTGCTGCAGATTTCTTTTGTGAGGATACAGCTTTAAATGTATGCTGTTCTGCTGTGTTTTTAACATTACATGGCTCTGTAGAATTCCTCACAGCCTCTAGATGATCAGAAGCACACTGCAGTGAGTTGCCATTGATTTCTCCCTCTTCTGATTGTTTCTCTGAAACAAACACACAACAGTGGCAGTAGTCATTTGTCATGAATATTATTGCTGCAAACATAAAAAACATCAGTGACATTATGCTTGTCTACAGAAAAACTCTCTGATGAGTTTATGCAAGAATCACTACCAGCAATGAGTGAGCTAGTTTAGGCTCTCATGAATCATTTATACAAGAATCACTAACAGCAATGAGATGGTTTAGGTTCTCATGAATCATTTATACAAGAATCACTACCAGCAATGAGCTAGTTTAGGCTCTCATAAATCATTTATACAAGAATCACTACCAGCAATGAGATAGTTTAGGCTCTCATGAATCATTTATACAAGAATCACTACCAGCAATGAGTGAGCTAGTTTAGGCTCTCATGAATCATTTATGCAAGAATCACTACCAGCAATGAGATAGTTTAGGCTCTCATGAATCATTTATACAAGAATCACTACCAGCAATGAGATAGTTTAGGCTCTCATGAATCATTTATACAAGAATCACTACCAACAATGAGCTAGTTTAGTCTCTCATGAATCATTTATACAAGAATCACTACCAGCAATGAGCTAGTTTAGGCTCTCATGAATCATTTATACAAGAATCACTACCAGCAATGAGCTAGTTTAGGCTCTCATGAATCATTTATACAAGAATCACTACCAGCAATGAGCTAGTTTAGGCTCTCATGAATCATTTATGCAAGAATCACTACCAGCAATGAGCTAGTTTAGGCTCTCATGAATCATTTATACAAGAATCACTACCAGCAATGAGCTAGTTTAGGCTCTCATGAATCATTTATACAAGAATCACTACCAACAATGAGCTAGTTTAGGCTCTCATGAATCATTTATACAAGAATCACTACCAACAATGAGCTAGTTTAAGCTCTCATGAATCATTTATACAAGAATCACTACCAGCAATGAGCTAGTTTAGGCTCTCATGAATCATTTATACAAGAATCACTACCAGCAATGAGCTAGTTTAAGCTCTCATGAATCATTTATACAAGAATCACTACCAACAATGAGCTAGTTTAGTCTCTCATGAATCATTTATACAAGAATCACTACCAGCAATGAGCTAGTTTAGGCTCTCATGAATCATTTATACAAGAATCACTACCAGCAATGAGCTAGTTTAGGCTCTCATGAATCATTTATACAAGAATCACTACCAGCAATGAGCTAGTTTAGGCTCTCATGAATCATTTATGCAAGAATCACTACCAACAATGAGCTAGTTTAGGCTCTCATGAATCATTTATACAAGAATCACTACCAGCAATGAGCTAGTTTAGGCTCTCATGAATCATTTATACAAGAATCACTACCAACAATGAGCTAGTTTAGTCTCTCATGAATCATTTATACAAGAATCACTACCAACAATGAGCTAGTTTAGGCTCTCATGAATCATTTATACAAGAATCACTACCAGCAATGAGCTAGTTTAGGCTCTCATGAAGGCACTAAAGTGTTTTTTTTTTTAATGTGGTCTCTGTATGATATGCCAAGAATTTTTCTGAAACATCTCATTTCTAATGCGTGTATTTTTTTGTAAGTTCAGCTGTTAAGGTCCACGTTTCACAGACATATGTAAATGTACTAATAGCTAGTGCTCTAAGCAACTAGCTATCTTAGTTTTGCATGAAATGTTTTTAGATCTTCATATTGTTTGCTGCTTGGTAAGGACTGATGTTGTCTGGGTAATCCTAGACATGATTTCTGGTCTTGAGCCAAGACACTTTAAAATGGATCCTAAATATTTGAAAGGAGTCACTTGTTCTAATGTGTTGCCTCTAATGTAGATTGGTGAAATTACGCCAGCTGGATTATTAGTCTATATATTTTTTTTTCTGCTTTTATTTCCATGCCATACTTGGTTGACATTTCATCGAGTAGATTTACAAGTTCGACTAGCTCTTGTTCTTCTTTGGCCAACCCATCAATGTCATCTGCAAACCTTAAGTTTGTTATAGTTCAACCTCCGATACTAACTGTTCCATGATGTTGTTCTAGGGCATCAGTATTAATTATTTCTAAAAAGATGTTAAACAGTGTTGGCGAGAAGAGGCAGCCCTGGCAGACTCCTACTGTTGTTCGGAACCAGCTTCCTATTTGTCCATTCAGCCTGACAGCACTGTTGGCCTCGGCATAGAGCTGTTCTATACTATGTATAAGTCTTTTACTCATATTGTACTTTTTCATAATGTCCCAGAGTGCTGCATGCCTTGAAATGCCTTTTTGAAATCAAGGAACACATGGTATAGATAATATTGATGCTGGTGTTATTGCTCAGATAATATGCGTAGATATTAAATATCTGTTCAACAGTGCTTCTTCCAGCACAGCCATAAATGATTTTAAGGTCAATTATGTTACTTTCATACTGAAAAGACAGAATCATGAGCATAAGTAGAGAGCAACAGACCATCGACATAAAGATTCTAGATCACAGCCTAAAACAAGTGCAAGAATTTAAATACTTGGGAAGTATCTTTACATTCAATGATAAAATATACAGAGAGATTGAAGCAAGAATCCAACAAGCCAACAATGTCGCATACCAGCTTGCCCTAATTTTAAAACACCCTGCTGTCCCAGCTGAGATAAAAAGACAAATTATAAATACAATCTTTATACCGACATTAGGTTATCAATGTCAGACTTGGACATTAACAAAAGAACACGAGAGAAGACTAACCACCTGTGAAATGAGATGTTTGAGAATGGCTGCGAATAAAACCAGAAGAGATCGAGTGAGAAACGATGTGATCACAAGAACTATTGGAACCATACCCATCGTTAAATTTATTGAGAAGCAAAGAATGAAATGGTTTGGTCACCTAATGAGAATGGAACCAACGATGCCAGCATCAAGAGCATACAACATGAAAATCGAAACACCAAGAGGCAGGGGAAGACCAAGAAGAAGATGGATTGAAGGAGTCACGGAAAACTTGAGACTTCATAACATCATGGCATATGAAGCGACTGAGCGAGCCCTGGCTCGGTTGCCGATCATCTGATAGACTGCGACGCCTAGCGGCACAAGCAGATTTTGACAAAAGAAGAAGATGTTACTTTCATTACATTTAATGTAACATCAAAAGTAACATATACACCTAATCAATGTCAATGTTACTCAGAATGTGCCACTCACTGTGCAAATTCACATGCACACACACATTGGCCAAGACACCAACTTACATTTCTTAATATTGGACATGACCGACTTTTGGGCCTGGCAGTAAAAACTATTTACCAATATATATATATATAAGAGAGAGAGACAGACAGAGAGAGAGACAGAGAGACAGACAGACAGACAGACAGACACGTTAGTAATGTACCTTTGTTAACAGTGGACATAAGAGACTTCCTGTCTGTTGGGTCCGGTGGCAGGATACGTTTACCCATAGCTTTAGCATAGGCTGCAGCATACCACACTCTCAGTTCGGCTCCCTTTGGAATGTCCTAGCAGAAATGAAATATAACTTTAATGAGTTATTCTTTGTGCGTAACATCATGAATGTGCTATTTATTTTGTTACTTTTTGTGCGTAAAAATAAACCCTAACCTGCAGTCTGTGGTGACAGCGCTAGCCATGCGGTCCTAAATCCACAGGCACAAAGTCCCCCCCCCCACACACACACACACACAAAAGTTGTCTTGTGCTAGTCTTGACATAGTTCAGAAACCTTCTGATCTGTTGCTTCTTGTTTATCTTGCCATCTGTTTGGTTACTTTTCAAAAAGTTATCTCAACTTGAACATTAACTCCCCCTAAACTAAGAACCAGAGCAAGTTCTTGCAGGATACCGGCCACATCACCTCTCAAAATATCTATAATATCGTTGACTCACCTTGCATGTCACGAAGTAGATGTTGCCTTTGTCTTGAAAGGCTGCCATGTTCTGCTGGGCGAATACATTAGCAGGCCTGACAAACATCATCCAGTTGCAGCTGTTTTCATCGGAGATATCGAGATATTCACAGCCCTGGTCACCACCCTGCAACTTTTCAAGAGAACATTCATGGTTAATATTGTGTGACACTACAAGACACAGAAGACAGAAGATATGCTGCTGGCAAATATGTGGCCACTTGGTGCATGAGGAAACATCTCTAGATGAGTCTCCTTACTCAGGGTGTTGGGGTGAGCATCATCTAGGGAAACTGTTGCATGCAAACAGGAAAGGACAACAATATATCGACAATCATCAACTATACCACTTGACTTCTGATAGGAGAAACTAAAAGACTTTTGTGCATGTATTTTTTTTAGCACAGTGAAATTTCATCTTTGTGGAAATATATTTTTTTTTTTAAAGTAGCCACTGCACTTGATACAAATTTAAACGCTGGTCTCTCTTAGCAGACACAGCAGGGATTTTTTTTTTTTAAATTACCCTGAGCGAGATACCACAGGGAGTAAAAATTCATGTTTGCTAGGTTGCTAGGTGATAGCATTCTGAGGTGAGCCTGTGTGCCCATGACTTGCATCAATATAATCACCATCAAAAACCACTTCCACCTTTAAGCTCAAAAAGGGTGGGGTGGGGTGGATGGGGGGGGGGGGTTGAGATCCAGTACCCCCTGGCATAAAGTGTCTATAATGTTGTTGATCCATATTTTTCATGTCCGTCCTCTTGCAGACAGGTATGTGGCTGATCTTCTGCCGTCCTCTTGCGGACAGGTATGTGGCTGATCGTCTGCCGTCCTCTTGCAGACAGGTATGTGGCTGATCTTCTGAGACGTTGTGTTTGTGATGGTATTTTATGTTGCTGCATTCTAGTGAGATAGCTAAACTATTTGATCTGCTGTTTCTCAATGCAATTTAAGCAAATCCTTTATCAGACCCTGTTTACGACATACTTGCTAAGAAGCAAGAGGTCTTCTCCCCCAAAAAAAACACAGTCACGAAAGCCAAATCACATAATGGTTGGGTTATCTAGTATAGAAGTTTATATAAAGCAGCTAGTCTATGGTGTAGATGAAAGGATGAATTAATCTTACCTGGTATTCCATCATGCCAGTTTGTAGTTTAGGTTTGGTCTGTGTGCGTTTTGCTTCCATTGGTCCAAATAAAGTACGCAACTTTATAAACTTCTTGGAGAACACACCTCTCTTGGCTAGAATGCCCAGACCAAATATTTGAAAACAATTATGATAAATGTTATTAACAATTAAATATAAAGACTATGATGGTATAGGTCACTGTGAACCAAAAGTTACAAGGTTTTTTTTCCCCTTATTCTTTTCATTTGAAGCACTGCCCCTCAACAAACTCATGCAAAGCTCATTGAGACTATCCAGGTATTCAGGTAACTGCAGTTCCAACTTCGTAGCAAATGAGAAACCACATACTTTGTAGCAAATGAGAAAACCACATACTTCATAACAACTGAGAAACCACATACTTTGTAGCAAATGAGAAACCTCATACTGTTCTGTTCATGTGCCAATGAAAACCACACATAATGTCCATCTCTGTCCCTTGTGGAAAAAAACTGATGCAGACGGCAGTGTCAGCAAATCTGCTAGCACACACATGCATTAAATGCATAAGGCAACCATCAGAAAAGTCACCAAAAATAGTCTGACAATAGAAATGCAGTTCATCATCGATGGAAGCAGCTACTACAACACATCAGTAGTTGCATACATGATTAATCAGATAAGGCACTACCTGTTCTTTGGCAACTGGTCACTTGTCATGTTCTGAACCTATAGTTCGCAACACAAACCATGTTGAGCAGTCGAAAAAAATAACTAAACACACAAACATGTGTGGTAAAATGCATGCACACACTAACACACGCACGACAGAGAGAGAGAGAGAGAGAGAGATGGAATGAAAGACAGACAGATGCACATAATCATATGAGAACATACCTTCCAGTGAGCATGGTTCAGACCTTCGGACACGTTTCAGAGTAAGAATCTTTGGAAGAGAAATACAGGCTCGTGTGGTCATGACATTGTCTGGGGCAACAGTCATGTTGCCTCCATGAATGAAGCAGCCCCCAATGTTGTGAACGCCACATTGGTCACACCCTAGAAAACAGCAAAGAAGTTAATCCCATTTCTTTCAATAAGGAAAGATATTTTTCTAATAAGAAATTCTGTTACAACAAACACTACTTTCAATAAAACTAAAATATCCTATTCACATCCTATATAGGCATACTGGGCATAGTACTAGACCTATATTAAAGATCAAATCAGTACTCTGTCGGCAATGGGTCAATTTCATGCTGGCTGCCTGTACTTCCCAGGACTTTACCTGGTATCTACTCAAGGCTGGGCTGACAGGGTCGTTTTTTTTAGATCCGCAGGTAAGCGTCTATCTACTAAACCATGGCTGACCGCACTGCATCAAATGGCAATCTGAGAATAAATTTGTAACACAGTTGTATCTCCATGTGCCCCAAGTTTTAAGCATGCCTAACGGACAAGTGATCAGATAGTGTTCTTGTGTCTTTCTTGTGTGTATCAACATGACCAGTGATCCAACAAATCAACTGAAAATAAGTTTGTTTATTAAGCAATTTAATGTCAATTCAATCAGGATGTATATGTTTCCTTTAAACAAAAGTATAAACACTTCAGTATATTGCTGCGGGCTATTCACATATGATGATAAGTTCAATGATGATTCATATTAGAGCTGTACCGAATAGTGATTTTCACTATTCGGCCAAATACGAATAGTGGGACTAACTATTCGGCCGAATACGAATAGTGTATCATCATCATCAGGTGCCTTGCCGACCGGCGTGGGCGATCATACCTCTCCACAATCTGCTATCTCCTGCAGCATATATCAGTTGGTGTGCTGACACACCTCCATGCCATGCAACAAGACTGTCAAGAATCTTCTATCGTTGTCTTCCTCTATCCCTCCTTCCACAGATCTTTCCAGTGGTCACCAAATGTTCCATTTTCCCTCTTCTCATTACATGGCTGAAAAATGCATCCTTCTGATGTCTGTGATTAGTTGTCTTCGGGCTCCCGCCTCTTTCAAAGCCATCGTTGGCTCGGCCGTTCGTTCGATGTAATTTAAACGCACCTTCATATTCTCGTTAGCAATATCTTCAAATTTGATTTGGGCGAAGACATCCTGAAAGAACGAAAAATGCACGATCTCTCTCTCTCTCTCCCTCTCTCTCACACACACTTACACTTACACACACACGCACATACACACTGCGGGTGGCATTTTATGCAGTTTGTACCATGCAACCAGGTCGCAGTTTCCCCCGCTACGAATGACTTAGGCAACAGCAACTATTGTGTTAATGAGAGAGTTATTTCAGTCATCACAGTGTATGCAGAAACGGGAGTAAGGTAACCACTATTCGTATTGGGCGAATAGTTGTGGTCGGGTCGAATACCGAATAGTTATTAGGTCCACTATTCGGCCCTGAAGCGAATACGAAGCGAATATTCGGTACAGCCCTAATTCATATACTTCAATATAAATTGCTATGACGTTCAAGTAATTAACTATTATCAACCGTTAATAAAGTCTCTTCTAAACGTACTGTCAAAGTATCTTTCTTTCTTAACCAAGTTTGTTCTCGGCCATATAGTCAATCCTCTCTTTTAAGTTCCAGCCTATGTTCCCGCCACTCGGCTACAACGCCTCAGACATGACTCCTCGAGAGCTGACCCTCCCTCTCCTATTCTGCATCATTTTCCAGCCCTCTTTTATCTTTTACATTTTGTTTTTTTTTCCCTGGCCCATTTGTCATTCCTGTCACAAGTCATCTGACAATTCTCTGTTACCTTCTAATCTCTCGTCAGTTATCTTGCTTGGTGGCCTGGACTGACCGCCTTGAGTACCATTGACATGTGTCATCCTCCTGATTTATGGTTATGTTTACCCTTCTGAAAGATTGTCTATCTCTCACACTGGATGCTTGTCTAGCTGAAAGATTTATGCTTTCTCAATTGCAACTTCTCTTCTTAGAACTCTGGCTCTCATGCTTAAAGCAATCTGACTTTCTATTCTTGACAATCAGGGTTTCCCTGCGTATCTCATTGCGGTCTGACATCTCCTATCCCAGGCTTCGGTGTCAGAGTTCCCTTGGTTTATTAGCACTTATGGTACATGATAACCTCTGACCGCTTCCCTGTGTGACAAACTGTCCTCAAAGAATTTTCTTTGGCTAAAAAAAAGAACAAAGATCCTTTTTATAAAGTTTTTTTTCTTCATGTTCACAGGCTGTAAACTTCCAGCAAGAAGTCCTGGTTGTTCAGCCACATATGGACTTTTTTGCTCTTGTTCCAGGACTTGAGTATTGTGTGCACATCTATTTTACAGATCTGATTTATCTGTGTGCAGACTGTTGGTTCCTTGCCTCTCAGGCAGATGCATCTTGACTTTAAAAAAAACCATAGATCCTGTGTATGCCAGCCATGTCCCTGTTGCAGAACCCATTTCTAGGACGACCATGGATATGTGCTGATTTGTCTTGATCAGTATAAGCCCTGGTCAAATTATCCGGTCACATTAACAAGCATAACACTTCATAAAAAGTGAAATACTAAGGAGCAGGAAGTAGACAATGGTACAAGTAGGATGTTAATATCAAAAGATAGACAACAGCAAATTCAGAGAGAGAACCATCAGGATGAGAGACATAACATGCTAGAGATTTCTTGCAGCCAACCTTCAAGGTGAAGATGGTACCTGATTGATAAATGTAGTCAAAAAATCAAGATGGGGTTTGTCAGCTAGGGTAAGAAGCAGTAATCACTTAGCTGCACCTATTAAATAATAAATTCTCCCCATATGGGCTCCAAGGCTCCACTGTGAGAAGAACAAAGCCACTGCGTACCCAACAAGTCTGTTGTAGGACTTGACTAACTGGGGCAATCACTCAAAGTTGGAGTACATCTGCTTGAGAGGCAAAGAACCAAGAGTGCATACAAAAAAGCCAGATCTGTGAAACAGATGTGCACGCAACACTCAGATTTTGGGAGAAGACTGAAGTCTAGTGGTGGACGAACACTCAGAACTTTCCAAAGGGGTTTACAGCCTGTGTACTCTAAGAAGAAGTAATAACCCCCAACATAAAAATGGAGACTGTAGTGCTTACTTCAGCACTTCAGTGGCTTATCAGTACTCCAATGTCAAAGGAAAATGAACAGATTGTCACTGTCAGGAAAGGGCTATCTTCCGAATAATTGTTTATGCAGAAAATTTACCCTAACAGGGCCTCAGTCACGTGTCAATTGCATACTTCCGGGGACTATACCGCCGCCGCCGAATTGCGATCCTCCGGCGCCTTCCGCCACAGCCGAGAGTACTCCCCACGCCGCTTGCATGGCGTGGATTGGGGCTAAACTAGATGGCTAGGACTCACAAGCAAATAAAACAAAGGCAGCTGCAGGAAATGCGGTAGCTGCTGTTCGTGAGTCCCAGCCATCTAGTTTAGCCCCAATCCACGCCGCGTGAGTGGCATGGGGAGTACTCTCGGCAGTGGATGACGTTGCTGAAAGTTTGCAATTCGGTGGCGGCGGAAGTCGCCGGAAGCTCGCATTTCAAGACGACGGAACTGCGCAATTGACATGTGACTGAGGCCCTGTTAGGGTTAATTTTCTGCGTAGATAATTTGGGACCGTTATTCGGAAGATAGCCCAGGAAAGAATAATGCAAACAATGGGTGATCAGAGAATCTGATCAACACTTAAAGCTCAGAAAAAAAAGACCAGATGGACATATAATATGATTGCAACTGGCACAACTAGTAATGGAACTGTGCTGCCTGCTTAAGATGGGGTTCGAGTGCTTATCCAAATGCTTGGACTTGTGTTCTTAATTCAGCCCAACTTACAAAAATGATTGCTATCTATTATTCTGGGAGACGTCTTGGTGGCTAGACGCTCACCAATAGATCGGAAGATTGTTGATTCAGGCCCTGACGAAGCCAAAGTTTTTTTTTTTTTTTTTAAAATAACTTTGGCTCCTAGGTAGACTCAGCTACAAATGGGTAACAGGTACAGTCTCGGGAAGTAAAGGTTAGGGGGGGGGGGGGGGGGGGGGGGGGGGGGCGTGATGTTGAGCACATCAACCGAGTGCCCAGTGGTCTATACAATAAAGGCCTAGCCCTATATGTCCAAGATGCCTGAAGGCGGGGAAAAGGGTCCTTGACTTTGCTATTAAAGGTCAGGAGGTGGGTGGCTCAAAGAGTTAAATTAAAATCTCCAAATTGTACTCACAAACGGCTGCATTCTCTGTGGTATCACTTTCATCTTTCAGCTCATCACTACCATTATCTTCAAGAAAGTCCATGTCAGGCCCAGGTTTTCTCACACAATACGTAGTCTTCAACAGAAAAGCTACCCACACACCTGCTGTAACTGTAAGCAACACAAAACAATGATAACCATAATACTACAATGTATATTTAAGAAAACCAGTACATGCATTTGAAGGTTTTTGTGTAAATGTTAAATGTAAGTCCTTACAAGTAGTTTAAAAGGTGTATGGATCTAAACAATCTTACACACACACACATATACTCATAGACAGTTTTTTACCTGGCTGTAGGAGGTACCAGCATTTTTCTTTAAAGTTAAATTTTTTTTTCAGCGTTACTATATTAGAGTCACTTTGTAGTGAATAGCCATACTTGTTTTGTTTTTCTTGGAAAAACCCCATATATATATATATATATATATATATATATATATATATATATATATATATATATATATATATATATATATATATATATACACACACACACATACATACATACATATATACTGGGATTTGTTTTACTTTGAGTATGACCTATACAAGATGAACTATTCATGTCTCCACTTAGAATGAGTGTAAGGACATCAATGGGGTGCCTTTCCTTTGCATTTTATTGTTGCCTGTGAGTTATGACTACACTCTATACACTTTGGTTTTCAAAATGTACCAGCATTAGTGTAGTAAACTATTATTATTTTATTGTCGATAACAATACAGTATTAATGATTGTTATTTAAGCTAATCAGAAAAAAAAAGAACTTACTGCATTGGGCTTGGGAAAGAAGGAAGTAATAGCGTATTACCAAAATGTACAGTGAAATCGACTGGAAGCTATAAAAACAATGATAATTGGAAAGATAATGATGATGATTGATGATGATGATGACAATAATTCACAGGTTTGTGACGACTGAGGGCACCCCTGGCCAGACCCTCAGCAACTTCTTTTACCCTAGACATGGCCCCCTACAGAACCTCTCGCCCGCCCAAGCCAGAGGCTCCTTCAGGGACATAACACCTGACAATAAACCACCCACCGACTCCCTATTATTGCCAACATCAAATAAACGTACATGACATCACAACTCACACCTAACCTCGTTTCTAAAGAACGTTTTTCAAGCAAAAATTAACGGTTAAACACGACAAATTGTGAATTCCCAGAACAAAATGTGTCGCCTTCTAACCTGACAGATGCCATTAACAGGGCATGATGGGATAGACAGGCAAGATGGCGGCGCCCTGAGGTCGAGAAAGACGACCAACATTTCAACCGTTATATAGATTTTATTATTTACCTGAAGAACTTTGTTAATTGTTTGCGAGTTATGTCATAATGGGTGAGCGCTCAAAGCTTCGTAGATGGACGGAAGAAGAAAGAATGAAAGATAATCCTTGCACAAAAGTAAGTTACTTGTTGCAAACTAAAATAGTGGGTTTCTACAGTATAAATACTTAAATAGCAACTAGGTGACCTTTAGTAACTAACTCATTATTTTGAACAAGACTGGCTCTGTGACTGCCTGTCTATCCCGTGTAACACTTAAGTTGAAAGGCGAGAGAATAGGCTTCAATGGACCTGGTTTTATCCCATATGGTTATGCAAAACGGCTGGGCACCTGCCGTGAGCCTCCCACAAATCACGAACTTTGTAGCTACAGCTACGATCCATCACCAACTCTGTAAAAATGGTACTCGTCAACCATATAATAACAGTAAAGAGGGGTGGATGAGATGGCATGGAAATTAAAATGATGTGAAGTTTTTGTTTTCATTGTGTCAGATATTTACATTGCATTTTATTACATGCTTTCGAGTTCACTTATTGATGTTTATTATTATTACACATTTAAACAAGGCTTGGGCAACTTGAGCGACTGGTGAACCTGGCTAGGTGCACATCTCCTTGTTGCTCCTTTCTGTTTTTTGACAGTTGTCACTATATTTTAACTTCCTCTGCCACACTCTCCGTGAGGGAAAACTGGGCAAGATGGAATACAAATCTTGTTCACAAATGTTGAACTTCTTGCCTTCATTTCTTGTCTATTTCTTGTTACATGTGATCAGATCCTAATCTCTTCCATGGGGGTTATCTTAGTTTAAGTCATTACATGCCTTATGTGCAAGAAATAGAACAGGAAGATTCCTTTGTGAGTTCCAGAGCCTCATTTGGAAAATGTTGGAAAGAAAAAAAGGAGGGGGGGGGGTGTGGATCCGCTGCCCTTTAACAAGCATATCATAGAAGGCAGCTAGTTTGGACTTTACTGAAATTGAATGTGATGAGCCTAGGAAAGCACAGATACAGCAGTCTAGCTGTAAACCATAATGTAACATGTTAACTACCCTGTTCCCTACAACTGCCCACAGCAGCAGAAGAAGAATTTAAGTGAATGGATATTCTTTAACTCTTTCAGTACCAAACAGTTTCCTGTGTGGGTTCTGGGGCCCTATCGTGGGAAAAACAAGAATAGACCCTCTGCCTACCCAAAAGCATGTCGTAAGAGCCAACTAATTGGGGAGCTTCCTTTGAAGTCGGAGTTCATCTGCCTGAGAGGCAAGGAACCAACAGTCTGCATTCAAGTTAATCAAATCTGTAAAAATGCACACACAACACTCAGGTTCTGGAGCAGGACTGCAGTTCAGAAGTGGATGAACAACCAGAACTTTCCACCAGAGTGTACAGCTGGTGAACGTGAAAAAGAAGAAGAAGTACCAAATGGTAAATTATTACATTCTTTCTATAAACAGAAATTCTATTTTAAAACAGTATGTGGGCCTGAGTTATTGAAGAAAAAAATTACTTACAGCTTACAATTAAGAAAACAAGTTAGCATACTTTACTGCAGTTTTAAAGAAAGTAAATTAATAGTTGAGTTTATTAGTAAGTCGACAGATCATCCTCATTGCTCATTGAACCATTTAGCCCATAAGTGCTCAGATCGTCTTTTCATCGTCTCTGTAAATCCCACACTGGTTTATCTGACAGACAATGTCATGTGGTTTATCTGACAGACTGTGTCATGTGGTGTATCTGACAGACTATGTCATGTGGTTTATCTGACAATGTCATGTGGTTTATCTGACAGACTGTGTCATGTGGTGTATCTGACAGACAATGTCATGTTGTTTTTCTAACAGACTATGTTATGTGGTTTATCTAACAGACTATGTTATGTGGTTTATCTAACAGACTATGTCATGTGGTTTATCTGACAGACTAGGCCATGTGTGGTTTATTTGGCAATGTCATGTGGTTTTTCTGACAGACTATGTCATGCGGTTTGTCTGACAGACTATGTCATGTGGTTTATCTGACAGACTATGTCCTGTGGCTTACAAGTGCTGTATTTACAGAGATCATTGGGGATTATTGCTGAAGCTACAGAGTTGTGCTTTGTACAGTTTTCTTCTCAGGCTTTTAAACCATTCTACTAAGAGGAAACTTAAGGTCTTCAATTCCTGTGTGATCCCAGTGCTAACTTATGGTTGTGAGAGTTGGAAATCATCAGTATCAATCGATAAGAAACTAGTCGCTTTCGAGAATAGATGCCTCCGAAAGCTATTGAATGTTCACTGGTCGGACTTTAGGTCCAATACATCTATAAGACAGGAAACAAAACAAAAATATGTGTCTGATTTTATCAGAATGCGTCGCTGGAATTACATCGGTCACGTACTCAGAATGGACATACAGAGACTTTCCCACCAAGCCTTCATATGGTCACCAGAGGGTAAAAGAAAACAGGGAAGACCAAAAGAAACTCTCCGTAGAACCATCACAAGGGAGAGCTCAACCATGGGTCTCAGTCGCACTCAAGACCTACATCAAGTGGCAACGAACCGACAGACGTGGAAAGCTATGACCTCTGCCCTGTGCGCCATCTTTGGCACAAGAGGAATAACTTAACTAACTAACTAACTAAGAGGAAACCGAGCCATATGAGATCAAACCCTGGGCAGTGACATCATTCCTCTCTGTGTTCTAACAATGATTACCTTTGACGCACATGAAACTATTATTTGTTTCACTTTATCTCGTCAAGTGTATCTTTTCAGGTGCATACTACAGTAACAATTACATAAATGAAGCAAACAAGTGAATACTTTATAACCAAAGTATAAATGCAACATTAAAATGCAACTGCCTGTTTAACCAAGGCAGCTGCAATGTCACAATCATGTCTGCACCTGATGAGAGATACAACTAAATATGCCAGGCAATAAATTGTGCAGACCATTGTTTGTGTCTTTTTGGTTTAACTTCACAATGAGGAAATATTGCTTTGATATTATTTGTTTGTCCTCCTAGGAGTATGACCTCTCCATGAAATGCCTCAACGACTATGGCCATGATAAAAACCAGTGTGAACTCTACTTTCAGAATTACAGATACTGCCGGAAGTTTTGGGTACAATCATTACTGCACTTTTTGTGTGATGTTTGTGTTCTGTGGTATTCCTTAATGCTATTCTTCAATTCTAATGGCTTCTCTTAGTTAGAAAGGGGATAATAGTGGCTTTGACTTTTGTTCACTTGTAAGTGATATCTCCTCGAGGCATACAAGAATACCTTTGTGGCAACACTAATTTGTGTCACTGAAGATTATATCAGGTTCAGAAAACCAGAAAAGAAAAAAAGCAGAGGAAGGCAGAGACAGATGCATGTGAAAAGCTGTCACAGCTGGGCAGCAAATAATATTTTAACTCTTTTGCCACAGGAACACTAAAAGTTACACCATGACCCCGTTAGAATTGCATTTTAAAAAATATGCAAAACATTTTTTTTTTGGTTACCTGGTCAACTTATTAATTAGTTTAAAATTTATTTATCTACATATTAAATTTTTTGTTTGTTTTTGAAATACGAGGAAAAGTCACAAATGGTTGGAAAAAAAAATAGAAGTAAAAAAAAACTAAAGACAATAACAACTTGAAAACCGTTTTTTTTTGTACACATGTACTATTATTTGCCTCTATTATTTCCACCAACATTGATGCACTTGTCCCATCATTTTGTCAGTCTCCAAAACCCGCTACATAGAACTTTGGTGTTTTTTTTTTAACCACATTTTCTCTTCACGTTCAACATCTGTGTCATTCAGGTCCCATGTCCTAAAAAAAATTTTTTTTACCCAACTTTGCATCGCTTTATGGGATAAACATTTGTCAGCATAAACAGGAAGCAATTGCTTATGAATGTCCTTTTGCAGGCAGCTCTTTTGCTCACACACACACACACACCAACAAAACAAAAAACATGACCTTGGTTGTTTAGAAGCTCTGTTGTTTTGTCCATTGAGTTTTCCAATGACAGATTGCATTGTACTTATTTCTCCATTGGTAAAGATTTTGATCGAAAGGTCTGGCTGTATTTGCATGCGTTTTTTCGGTTACCTCCATTGAGCTTTCTAGTCCCATTGTATTATGTGTTTCATACTCCTTGCCATCAGCTCGAATGCAGTTGCACCCCGTTTTCGTCATCACTTAACTCTTTGAGTCCCAAGGAAGGCATCATACGTTCATAGGTTCCTACCTAGAAGCCCAATGAATGCATGATGCACCGATTTTATGACTGTCTTCACTACCTCCTGGGCCGGTGATGCTAAACCCCCTGGGACTCAAAGAGTTAAGCCTTAGTGTGCAGACACCATTTCATGCTATGACAAAGGGTTGTCATGAATCCTCTCATTATCTTCCATCACTATTTGTGTAATACTTTCTTTCTGCCACAACACATTCCCGTCTTCCACTTCTCATTTATCCCACCAGGTAAAACTGCTTCTTTTTTAATGATTCAGTCATGCAAGACAATGAGTCCATATGTTTGCATTAACAATCATATTGTTACTTACTGCTATGTTAATTACTTGTGGGTGTTTTATTGCAGTCTGTAATCAAATCGGAGAGGAAAAAGGAAGGAATTGAACCTGTCCTGCCACCACCAGAAGAAAGAGAAGATGTGAAAAAGAAATATCTTCCTCACCTAAAAGATGTATGACAATTTGAACAGTGACAGTTGTTGCTGATATGCTCCTATAGGCAGAACATTGCTGTGTTTAATTTATAATAAAGTTTAATAAATATATTCTTGCTATGGCTGTTTCTGTTTATTCTTTATGAAAGAGAATGCACAGTGGAATAGTGGTTAGTGCACCAGCTGACATAGTGGTTAGTGCACCAGCTGACATAGTGGTTAGTGCATCAGCTCACTTCGTGGTTTATGCACCAGCTCACATGGTTGTTAGTGCACCAGCTCACATGGTGGCTAGTGCACCAGCTCACATAGTGGTTAGTGCACCAGCTTACTTTGTGGTTTGTGCACCAGCTGACAGTGGCTAATGCACCAGCTCACATGGTTGTAAGTGCACCAGCTCATTTTGTGGTTAGTGCACCAGCTGACAGTGATTAGTGCACAGCTGACATAGTGGTTAGTGTACCAGCTGACTTCATTGTTGATGCACTAGCTCACATAGTGGTTAGTGCACCAGCTGACAGTGATTAGTGCACAGCTGACATAGTGGTTAGTGTACCAGCTTACTTCATTATTGATGCACTAGCTCACATAGTGGTTAATGCACCAGTCACTTCATGGTTAGGGCACCAGCTGACATATTTAGTGGACGTGTAACAATCTGACTGCATATCGGTCTCGCTTTCCCTTGAGCGTCTGCCAGATCCCCTGGCTGCTCCTCGCTGAACCATTCTACCCAGACAGTGATCATCTATTTGTGCCTCCATGTGCTGTTCACTCACTCCCAAAGGACTTTTACAACATTCAGCTTGTCATACATGACTTCACCACTAGGTAGCGCAGAACCCTCTAGTCTATCTGCTTCTTTGTTTTCCAATAAACTGATATGACCTGGAGAAAATATCCAAAGTCTGACTACCCTGGAACCTTCAAATGATGCTTGCTACTCCGCCCAGTGCATACCTGGTTCCACCTTTCTCAGCATGCTCTGTGGTTCAATCACTAAAGCTGCAGCGACTGCTTCCACCTCCATTCTCAATATATATTTAAACACACACATATATATATATAAAAACATCTTCATCAGGTGCCTTGCCAACTAGCATGGGCGATCATGCCTCTCCACAATCTGCATCTCCTGCAGCATGTATCAGTTCGTGTGCCGACACACCTCCATGCCATACAACAAGACTGTCAAGAATCTTTTCTTGTTGTCTTCCTCTATCCATCCTTCCACAGATCTTTCTAGTGGTCACAACAATTTCTATTTTCCCTCTTCTCATAACATGGCCGAAAAATGATGTCGTGTCTTCTTCTGATGTCTGTGATAAGTTGTCTTCAGCCGGCTCCCGCCTTTTCCAAAACCTCTTGGTTGCTCTTTTGGCTGTCCAAGGTATTCTTCTGTAAAACCACATCTCTGAGGCCTCAAGAAATTGTTTAACCTGCCTACCGATTGTCCAGGATTCACAGACATATGTTAAAACTGGATGTGTGTAGCAAGCAAGAATTATTTTTCTAACTCTCAATGACAAGGATATATTGCACAAGATGTTCTTCATTTGATAAAATGCAGTTTTTGCCTGTCCTATTCTGTTTCTGATCTCAGTTATGCATCTTCTATCTGACGTTATCCATGTGCCCAGATACTTACATTTCTGTACTTGTCCCAAAGTAACACCCTTGACTTTTATTACACATTTAGGAATAATTTGTTTCTTTGATACCACCATTACTTCTGTCTTCCCATTATTCTATATATATATATATATATATATATATATATATATATATATATATATATATATATATATATATATATATATATATATATACCGATATATATATATATATATATATATATATATATATATGATAATATACCACACAATATACATACATATATATATATATATACACACACACACACACATATATATATATACACACACACACAGACACACACACACACATATATATATATGTATGTATGTGTGTATATGTCATGCTAGGGAGAAAATGATTAGTTAGGGAGCATCATATTCTGCAGCTCTGTAGCTCACAGGTTAATATATGACTATCACAATCCCTGACGCACTAGGTTTTGATCTCTGTAGCAGTTGGTTTAGAAAAAGACCATTCTTGTGTCTTTCAGTGGTTGTCTAAGAGTCTCACTGTGGAAAAAATTTGGACCACACCACCATGTAATATTATCATCAGTGGATGCACATATCCAGTGTGGTCAATCTTTAGTGGATTCACATATCCACTATAGTTATTGTGGATACGGCAGAAATGTAACTCTTTCCTAACGGTCTGCACCAACACTGTTGCTCCTGTGAACATCAAATATGTTAAAAACAACCTTTCATTGTGGTTTTACTATTTCACATTAGCAGGAAATTCAGCAATCTTTTTTTTTTTTTTTTATTAAACACAAATTATGACTAAAATATTCAACAAAGCGAATTAAAATGATAAGCACAAATACAACCAAGAATTTATCAAAAGCCAATACATTCATAAAATAGTTTATTTATCATGCACTCATTCCAAAGGTAAACATAAATGCACTCACAGTAGACACGTCAGATTTAGCTGAGATTTTCAGTCTCTGAGGTTTATTAGAATATTTATTGTGGAAGCATATTTTACAGAAACAAGTCACAATTTACACTAAAATGGCTAATATTTTCAGCTCCTTCATACTGATAAACTGAATCATTTGATACTATAGTTCCTAACACTTTAATTAAGATGTGAAATAGTTTATGTTACTAGTACCTCAGTGTTCTGGTTTTACATTACTTCGCTCAAATAGCAATACATTTGTGATAAAACTTTCAGGACTGCAAATATGACCAAACTTCAACTCTGTCAGTACCAGCCATGCTTTACTTCTGCTCTTCATTTTCCTAGAAATAGTTGTTTCACACTTTCACCCTGAGAATCTACAAACCTGACACTTCCTGTGGGCTGCAATTCCCTTAAATGCCCACAGAGACATGGTTAACATTTTTTTTTTTAAGGATATAACTACCAAAAATAGCAATTACAGGGTTTCCCTCTCAACTGAATGGCTTTTTAAAAGCCATTAGGACGTCATAATTGTTCATAGATTTAGTGTTAAAAGTCATGGGGTCATGGCGAGAGTTACTAGGTACAACTTTTTTAAAGGCCCCATGGAATATATTCCATCTAATGCTCAGATTTGTTTATTTTTATTGATTAGTTGGTTTTTTTTTAAAAATATATCTTTGGACATAGGACAGTTGCTTGTTAAAGACAAAAATTAATCTGATGACATCACTAATATTCTACTATATTCTGAGTCTTCCATAAGACTTGAGTCGGTAGTGATAAGACTGCAGCTAGTAATTTGTTTTTGTGATAAGGCAATATGTTCTTGTTGCGAATATACGTAACTGAAAACTAACATCATGTAGTACTGCTATCTTTCTTTCTCTTGAATTTTTGGCTTTTGACCTCTGACCTTTGACATCTGCTCTTTGACCAGGGCTATCAAATTCTTCTCTGTGAGGAGAACAATGAGTAGGACCACTAGAAGGCACACACCAGTGATCAGAATGTGAACCAACTTGTTTATCACAGACTGCTCTCTGCAAAACAGATGCTAGGTGGGTGGGTGGGTGGGAGAAACAGACAGGCATCCATGTTACTGGACATGAAATACAATTCACATCATCTACATTATAACATGAAATAATCTTTGAAGCAGCTGCTACAGTGCAGTGACAAGCAAGCCAGCCTAGTGGTCAAATGTCTGAATCCTCCATTCAGCTGATTTCTCAAAACATACCCTCTTAGCATTCACCGACTGTTAACTCTGGCTGAAAGTTCTTGTTTTTCTACTTTGGTCTTCTTCTGCAACTTGAGTTTTGCGTGCATATCCATTCTACAGATCTAGCTTATTTGTAAGCAGATTGTTGGTTTTTTACCTCTCCAGCACATTCACTCGGACTCACCCCTAATTTGTTGCCTCCTACAACATGCTTTCTAGGGGGGGGGGGGGGGGCAGTGGGTTTGTTCCTTGTTTTCCAAACTGGAGCCCCCAAAACCTACAGAGGATAAACACTGGTCTGAGTCCCCAGGTCGATCTGCCAAAAATGGGCACCAGGAAATGTTCAGGGAAATAAAGACTTTCAGGATGAAAAATAAAAATAAAACCTGGTGTAGGCCCTAAAATGAAGGTTGGTTGTATTGTATCCACTGCTAACTGGGAATATTCTGAGATGAGGCGGCAATCTCTTCCATGGTGCAACTCTCGTACCATTGTATGAAAGCCACGAGAACTGCCTGCCATGTTAGTTGAACACTGGTAGATGTTAAAGACAGCATTATGATAGTGATATGATACTGACCTCCACAAGACCAATCAAGGGCTATAAAATGTGTGGGCTGGAACACCATATGCCCATACAACTCAATGTGTGGAAAAGGTCATTTACATTGTTTTAAACATACTAGGAGCTGCAATAGTGTTGTGGTTAGTGCACTCACTAGCCAAGTCAGTGGGTCTGGGTTTCGGTTTCTATCATCATCACTCAGCAGATCCTTTACAGAACAAAGCTCTCGTCATGCAAACCTGAAAGACGTTTTCTCTCCAGCCAATTCTGCAGCCCTATGTGCTTTCATAGCCATACATCTTCAGTGTCATATATTCACCTTTGCCGTGGTCTGCCTCTGCCTTGTTTCCCAAAAAACTACTCTCATTTCCATTCTCTCCAAGCCACCATGATGTTTGACATGGCCAAAATACAGCAGCTTTCAGGGCAGGATGCTGTTTATGAGCCAGTTCTCCTCCAAGCACAGATCATGTAGATTGATTCTTGGTCCCATGGCATTCTAATAATTTTTTGTGTGCAGCATTTCAGTTCAAATGCTCCAATTTTTTCTTAAAGGATTGAGTAACTGTCCATGACTCACATATATAGGTTGCCAGGAGAATGATGCATGAGCTCAAAACTTTAACCACAGCCACTATATTCACCACACTGCTATAAAGTCCACCCAATGTTATTAAAATGGTTACAAAAGAATCAACAGAGTGGACAATCAGACCGGCTAAGGTTGGTCCCATGACACCTGTGCACTTGTCAGCAAGCAGGTGAGACTGCCAAACATATTATACAAGACTGCCACTTATATCACCTATAGGGTGGTGTCAGACAGGAGATGTTGAGCAGGGTGGTGTCAGACAGGAGATGTTGAGCAGGGTGGTGTCAGACAGGAGATGTTGAACAGGGTGGTGTCAAACAGGAGATGTTGAGCAGGGTGGTGTCAGACAGGAGATGTTGAGCAGGGTGGTGTCAGACAGAGGATGTCAAGTCTAAGGATTTCAGGCTGTGTCAGTAATGCAACTGCCACCAACTGTGCAGGTTACAAGTGATCAGAGAGGATTAACATCAGAGCACTCTGGACAGACCAACAGGTGCTTCCATCTCCTCCTCAAAAGCTCCACAGACGTAAAATGACTGTCACATGTTCTGCGTTAATTAATCAACAGTCTTGTCCTCTTGGTAAAATGTTAATTTCGTGCAGCTTCAGGTTGCACCCCATGTCTATCAGCACAGACAGGCGTATGGTGTCATGCCCTTTGCTGTATTTGTCTGTGAATGGCTTTGATAACGCTTCTGTCCAGTCCCGAACCATCCATAGCAGCCACGGTGTCTTCAAAATAATCTGCACTCTCGTTGCCTCAAACACCTACATAACCAGTCACATGTAAGGCCAGCCATTCAGAAAGTGCTTAGTGTTGCATTCAATTCTTGCCTGACAAACCCAGCTTAAATTTATTTAAGCATACTCACTGAGTCATTAACATTTTATTTTTAATTTAAATTTATTGTTGAATTTTACTTGTTGATAAGTAAATGACCGACACTTACCTCAGATGTAGAGGTAACAATGAGTGAAACCAGCAGGGAGACAATCACTGGCATCGAAGGCACTATCTCATTTAAAGGACTGTACCCAGTACCAAACAAGTAACCCTGAATGAAATAAATACTGGAGGAAAAAAAACATAAATGTTTTATATGACAATTATCAGAGTACTGTATACCCGTATGTATGCAAAGATCTTAGAAGGTAGGATAAGAGCAAAGGTTGAACCTCTACTGAGTAAAGCACAATTCGGTTTCAGGAAAGGGCGAGGTTGCACTGATGCCATATTTGCACTAAGACAAGTCTGTGAAAAGACACTCGAATACGATAAAGAGCTGAACGTGGTCTTTGTAGATCAAGAGAAGGCATTCGACCGTGTAGACAGAGATGTGCTGTGGAGAATTCTTGACGATTACGGAGTGCAGGGTCAATTATTAGACAACATCAGAGCCCTCTATGAAAAAAGTGAAAGTGCAGTAAGAACATCTAGTGGTCTTTCTGAATGGTTCAAAGTCACAACTGGTGTCAGACAAGGATGTGTACTGGCACCATTACTTTTCATAACATACATGGATAAGATTCACTGTAGAAGCAAACCCAGACATGTATTGCTATAAACGAATTACTTTTTGCTGATGATCAAAGCATACTGTATCAAAATGAATATGATCTACAGGAACATCTGACTACTCTCAACAACAGCTGTTTACAACATAATATGAGAATCAGTACAGAAAAAAAAAACAGAAGTTATGAAGATCAGCAGAGACACACAGGCCACTGAATATAAATGTTGGAAGTGCCAAAATCAAGCAAAACCAAAGAGTTCAAATACTTGGGCAGTATATTTACAGAGGATGGAAGAATGGACAGAGAGATAGAAACAAGAATACAGAAAGCAAATGCTGTCACATACCAAACTATCACCTCTGCTTAAACATCCAGATATAACCATGAAGACCCAAAAGACAATTGATAAACACCATCTTCATTCCAACAACTCTGCTACCAGTGCCCAGACATGGACAATCAACAAGACCCATGAAAGAAAATAGAAGCCTGTGAAATGAAATGTCTAAGAAAAGCAGCGAATAAGACCAGACTAGACAGGATAAAGAATATAGACATTAGAAACACTGTCAAAACTACACCATGTTTAGACTACATAGAACATCAAAGAATGAAATGGTTTGGACATCTAACCAGGATGAAAAATGATCAAATAACATCACAAATTTTCAACCAAAGAAGCTCAGGATATAAGGCAAGAGGAAGACCAAGGAAACTGTGGATTGACAGGGTCTCCGAAACCTGCCAAAAGCATGGCCTCAGAACATCAGATGCTGCCCGCCTTGCTTATGACAGGAACTTGCATCTCCCCACAACGCTTAGCGGCATACGTGGAAGGAAAAAGTAAAGTAAAGTAAGTATACCCGTTGCTTGTACAGAGTTTATTTAAATTTCATATGTAGTTGAATTAAATTTGCTGTGACCAGAAGTTGTGAAAGAAGAAAGTCTTCTTCTTCTTCTTCTTCTTCGATCCTTCTGTCAGAAAACTTATATCAGGAGGCCTGTAGCCTTTATGAAAGCTATCGTGCAATCCATATCCTCTCGTGTACCATACAGTTTTGTCTTCAGTGTGGTTGGAACAGGCCAGATTGCGTCTCTGTTGTCAGCATACAGTTGACAGTGTTGGAGCACGTGATTTTCATTCCTCAGAAACTGCATCATATATATGATCATAGGGCTGCTGCTAAGAATGGTTTTAACCTAAAACTATTCTTCCCTATCAACCTTAAATGGAATAACCATAATTTTGTCTCTTATCTGCTAGATTAGTTTAACTGATGTCTTTCTTACCCTGTTTGTAATGTCTTTTTAACCCTGTTTGTAATGTCTTTTTTTTTAATGTGTTATCTAATGTAAAGTCAGCTCAGCTCTCGTCTGCTGTAAAAGTCTTCAGTTCTTGTCAACTGTAGTCTATTTATTCTTGTCTAGTTTTAAAATCTGTTTAATTCTTGTCTGTTGTAAATTCTGATCACCTTCATTTGTAAATTTTGCTAGGTTTACAAATGTACATCCACGGGAAATCTGCTAAATTACTCCTCCTTACATCGATGCATATAAACCGAATTAATAGCATAAATTTCTTAAACAGTCCACACACAACATAAGCATCTTACCTATGAGCTATTCGAGCCAGCATGTTGAAACAGTTTGCCAGTATAAATCCAACACTTCCTAACATCCTGGTCAGTAGCCAGGATGACAACAGAAACAGGCCAGAAAACAGAACCATCTTTTTGTTGTACCTAAAAGTGAAATGCAGCCTGGCAATGACAACAAGTAATCATGTATTTAAAAAAATTGAGTGAACCCTAAGGGCCACCAAAAAGATAAAAATGGGGCTAACATAGCAATGTGTTCTTGGAATCAGTAGAGAAACAAGATTATTATGGCCTGGAAAGAATGAGGCACCTGGGTGTAACCAGAGGGTCTGGCTGGCTCACTACACTCAAGAGGAAATGCAAGACGGACATATAACCAGATTATGACCTGTACCATCAGTATTGAAACTTTGCGCTGGCTGCTGAAGATGAGGATGGAGCACACATGGGAATGCCCTGAGTGCTGGTATGTCAATTCTTGACTTGACTAAACTGAGTTCTTGGGTGAAGGGACCAAAATGGGATACAGTGCTCATGCTTGTTTTATCTTGTCTTCTGTGCCACTCACTCAAGTCTTGTATATCTGACACTTGCTTCTTGGTGGGCAGTGAGTCTATTCTATTTTCTTCCACAATAGGGCCCATGTGAGTTCCAGGGCCTTATTATGGAAGAAAACAGAATAAACTCACTGTTCACTAGGAAGCAAGTCATCAAAGTCATCTTATTAGGGATGTTTCCTACAAAGTTGTTCATCTGCCTGACAGGCTAGAAACCAACAATTTGTATACAAATTAGTCATATATGTAAAACAGATGTGCACACAAAACTGAGGTTTGGGAACAAGACCAAAGTCCAGAAGTGGATGAGCTACCAGAACTTTTCAACCGAGTTTACAGCTAGTGAATACAAAGAAGTAAATCTCGCATGAATATATATTCACAATCTAAAATCAGGACAAATACAGAAGTGTACAGGTATATGACCACAGATGTCACACACCAGACACTTGAAAATAAAAACAAAAAACAAGTGCAGATCTCACAAGGCCACAAACATACTGGTAATATTCTATGTTGGACACTTTCAAATATGTACTGGTATCCAGTTCATAGTCTGCTCTGTGGCTAAGTCGATGCGAACGCTTTACAATGCCGGGTTCGATCCCAGCTGCAGGCCATGCACCTTGCTTTGGTTTTGACAGTGGTATCAATAAAGCCGACCGTCCAGAAAGCAATGGCAAACTACTGGACGGAAATTTGCCTAGAAAAACCACACAACAGCCAGGGGTTGTTGGGTTTGGTTTTGCAATGTCCTGTACAGGATACGCAACTAAACTTATCCAGTTCATACCATAGTGGTTTGACTCATGATAAAACAAAACTGTTTATTATTACTATCCAGGAAACAAATGGATTCCTTTTCTACGCTTAATTTTTCTATCTTCCATCTGTTTTGCTTTTAAGACGTTCAGTGCACCACGTCTGTCAGAGCCAATGATGCATCATCATCATGTTTCCACTTCTGTTGTTAAGTATTCTGGGGAGGAATAGTTTGTGTTCCATTGCTTGATGGGCAGTAATGGCCGTCATTCCGTGTCCATGTAGAAGCTCTTTAATGTCATCAATTCCTATTCTCCTAGGGCCGCCTCTGGCTTTCACTTCAGATCCTTTCATGTGTAGCGCCTGCACTGGTAGTTGTTCTGGCTGCATTGATAAATGCATAATACGGTAAATACAAATGAAGATATTCACAAAACAAAAACTGACTGAAATTCAGCAAAGAGTTCATAAAGCAACAAAAGGCTCACACACAGGCTCAGACAAAAGTGAATTCACTTCACAAAACAAAACAATGAGTTCCATCACAACCCATGGGTTCACTTAATGAGTTTCACCACAACCAATGGGTTCACTTAATGAGTTTCACCGCAACCAATGGGTTCACCTTATGAGTTCCACCACAACCAATGGGTTCACTTAATGAGTTTCACCACAACCAATGGGTTCACTTAATGAGTCCCACCACAACAAATGGGTTCACTTGATGAGTTCCATCACAACTAATGGGTTCACTTAATGAGTTCCACCACAACCAATGGGTTCACTTAATGAGTTCCACCACAACCAATGCGTTCACTTAATGAGTCCCACTACAACCAATTGGTTCACTTAATGAGTTCCACCACAACCAATGGGTTCACTTAATGAGTTTCACCACAACCAATGGGTTCACTTAATGAGTTTTACCACAACCAATGGGTTCACTTAATAAGTTTTACCACAACCAATGGGCTCACTTAATGAGTTTCACCACAACCAATGGGTTCACTTAAAGAGTTTCACCAAATTGAATGGGTTCACTTAATGAGTTTCACCACAATGAATGGGTCCACTGTTGAATACAGGATCTCACCTGTCAACGTCAGCTTTACTCATCGCTGCAAACACAAATGCTTCTGTTGTGCCATTGATGGCAATAATCAGTACATACAAACAATGCCAGCGCAGCAGGGTTGGTCCTGAAAATATACAACACAACAAGTGAACCCTTGCTGCAATTCTTTGTATTATTCCAAATCTATCCTCTTCTGCTCATGACTAGCTCCTTAGAATTTAATTTTTGCATAATGATGGTATGGAGATTTAGCATAATGGTGGTATGGTGATTTAGCATAATGATGGTATGGTGATTTAGCATAATGATGGTATGGAGATTTAGCATAATGGTGGTATGGTGATTTAGCATAATGATGGTATGGAGATTTAGCATAATGGTGGTATGGAGATTTAGCATAATGATGGTATGGTGATTTAGCATAATGATGGTATGGAGATTTAGCATAATGGTGGTATGGAGATTTAGCATAATGGTGGTATGGTGATTTAGCATAATGGTGGTATGGTGATTTAGCATAATGGTGGTATGGTGATTTAGCATAATGGTGGTATGGTGATTTAGCATAATGGTGGTATGGTGATTTAGCATAATGATGGTATGGAGATTTAGCATAATGGTGGTATGGTGATTTTGCATAATGGTGGTATGGAGATTTAGCATAATGGTGGTATGGTGATTTAGCATAATGGTGGTATGGTGATTTAGCATAATGGTGGTATGGTGATTTAGCATAATGGTGGTATGGTGATTTAGCATAATGATGGTATGGAGATTTAGCATAATGGTGGTATGGTGATTTAGCATAATGGTGGTATGGTGATTTAGCATAATGGTGGTATGGTGATTTAGCATAATGGTGGTATGGAGATTTAGCATAATGGTGGTATGGTGATTTAGCATAATGATGGTATGGAGATTTAGCATAATGATGGTATGGTGATTTAGCATAATGATGGTATGGAGATTTAGCATAATGGTGGTATGGGGATTTAGCATAATGGTGGTATGGTGATTTAGCATAATGGTGGTATGGTGATTTAGCATAATGGTGGTATGGAGATGTAGCATAATGGTGGTATGGTGATTTAGCATAATGGTGGTATGGAGATTTAGCATAATGGTGGTATGGAGATTTAGTATAATGGTGGTATGGAGATGTAGCATAATGATGGTATGGAGATTTAGCATAATGGTGGTATGGAGATTTAGCATAATGGTGGTATGGAGATTTAGTATAATGATGGTATGGAGATGTAGCATAATGATGGTATGGAGATTTAGCATAATGTTGGTATGGAGATTTAGCATAATGATGGTATGGAGATGTAGCATAATGATGGTATGGAGATTTAGCATAATGGTGGTATGGAGGTTTAGCATAATGATGGTATGGAGATTTAACATAATGATGGTATGGAGATTTAGCATAATGGTGGTATGGAGGTTTAGCATAATGATGGTATGGAGATGTAGCATAATGATGGTATGGAGGTGTAGCATAATGATGGTATGGGATGTAGCATAATGATGGTATGGAGATGTAGCATAATGATTGTATGGAGATGTAGCATAATGGTGGTATGGAGATTTAGCATAATGATGGTATGGAGATGTAGCATAATGATGGTATGGAGATGTAGCATAATGATGGTATGGGATGTAGCATAATGATGGTATGGAGATTTAGCATAATGATGGTATGGAGATGTAGCATAATGATGGTATGGAGATGTAGCATAATGATGGTATGGAGATGTAGCATAATGATGGTATGGGATGTAGCATAATGATGGTATGGAGATTTAGCATAATGATGGTATGGAGATTTAGCATAATGATGGTATGGAGATTTAGCATAATGATGGTATGGAGATTTAACATAATGATGGTATGGAGATTTAACATAATGGTGGTATGGAGATTTAACATAATGATGGTATGCATCCTTTTTGTAAAAACTAATTTGTTTAAAAAATCAACAACAGACAAGCAGTCTCATGGTGGATTTAAATAAGCCTGAAGGTCTCCATGGCAAAGTGGTCAAGCTGTTTGTCTTGTACCCTAAAGGTTGTGGGTTCATTTCACTGCTGTGTTGTTCGATTCACGAGAGTGCAATTTTCATGGAGACCCCCCAGGCATTATCACAAGTGCTAGTGTTTGTGCTTTGTTCGACGCTCTTGGCTAGCCATTCTGCAGAGAGAGACTGAGTCCTATGGGATAAAACCTGGTGCAATGAAGTAGATCCTCTCAATTTCAACCTTCAGCATAAAGTCTTGAGCTTTCACATATTTCATAAAGTAGTGTGGCCACTTCCCATCCTCCCTATCCTGTCCAGACAATTTCCAGAAACAAATCCTGTACCAACTTTATGGACAAAGTTGAACCCAGAGCCATACTGGTCTGATAAATTGTATCACTCCTGGTAATTGAACCCAGACCACTGACTTGGTAAGCAACAGCACTAACCAATAAGCTACCATGTATTCTAAAAAATGGGGGTGGGGATGGGGGGGGGGGGGGGGGCGGCTAATGTTAAAATGAACAAGGTGAAAGAACTGTATACAAAAATATAATATATAAGTGTAATATATAAGTGTACTGTATGAAATGAACATCTTTAATTAACTGCTCCCCTTTGACCTGACTCAGGTATATTACTGACTTATTTCGCACATACATATTCCTGATGGGCTGCATTCAAATTAACTAGACACTTCGTTGCAATTGGCCAGGTCAAAGCCAGTTAGACACTTCAATCTGAATAGGAAGTTGAAAAAATAAAATAAAAATAAAACACTTGTTCACTGTGATTGGATAAATCAAGGTCAGTGAAACACTTCATTTTGACTGGAAATGCTAAAATCAATGAGACACCTCATTTTGATTGAATAAGCTGAAGTCAGGCACATAAAGTCAGTGAGATGCTTATTTTCACTGAATCCCTAGAGTACATCCTGCAGAAGACTGAACACCACTGTGTTATATTTAACAGTTATTACCTGCCCCTGAAGATAACACGTCTCCTCCATATATATGAAGTGCCAGGTAGGAATTTGAGAAGCCAAATATCAGGATTATAGAACCTATTATAGTCACTATTTTCAACACTACTCCTAAAACCCGGACAGACAACCTTAGAGATTCCTGCAAAAAGACAAAACACAGTATTTTAAAATGATACAAAATTTTACATAAGCCTATTTATAACTATATTGTTTTTCAGCATACATTCTACACATGAAAGTGTTGTCTTTTGTAAAGTATAGAAAACTTAGCAAATATATCCTGAAATTATGTTTATATCAGTTGACTGAAACTGTATCCTCTCTGGTAGAAGGGCTTTTGTTGTTCAAAACAGTGCCAGTCCTCAAGGTGTCTTAGCAAAAAAAAAAAGTTGCTGGTGCTCACCAAAACATGTTTATTTTAAAGGCATTGAAAAAAAAAAAGATGCTTAAAAGAAGGCACAGGTAATGCATACTGTTGCAAACCTCCAGGGGGAAAAAGTCCTGCTCTTTGGTAAAGAGATATGGCAATATAAATGAAACAGAAAGGGAGTGTTAGGATCATGCAGACAAACAACAAGCACTAACTTATGTACCTATTTTACGAGGACCCCAGGCCAGGAAGCGGACCACCTTTTTCCCAGTAACACCATTTATATGCACAACACAATGGGAGTATCAGGTCAGGTTCATGCTTTCTGCAATGGAATGACAAGCAAGGGGTCGAATGGCCACAACCTTTACTTCACAATATTTCACTACCAGTATCAACTGCTATAAGACTAAGAAGACGGTGCCATACTGGACACATCCTGAGAAGAAATGAGCAGAGAATCACCAAACAGGCGCTGCAAAAGGAAACAGAGGGATTGAGGAAACAGGGACATATAAGAGAAACCCTAAAGTGAATGTTGATGACAGAAGTAAAAGCTGCTGTAACGGATTCCATCCTTAATATCAAAGTGATTGCACAGGATTGAATGAAATGGCGGAATAGACTGCGAGCCCTATGTGGCACAATAGCACAATGAATAAATTAATTTCACCTGGTGACGCTGGGATACAGAATAAAGTAAAGGACCTGTTTGCCTGCCATGAAGCACACTGAATATATAACGTTGGTACATATTTGTATATACCAGTCGCAGCTCCATAAGTGAGAGCATTATCATGTCAACTACCTTGACTTCTCACAGCATTTCCTGGCACCAAATGTTAAACTAATGTGTTCTACCATTGTTTTATTACATTAATCCACTCAATCCCAGTTGTTAATGTAACTTCTGCGCCATGGCTGCATTACAGGGTCATCGAGAATGATTACAATGATTTTAAACTGTTATTATAAGAGACAAGTTTAACAGATATACATGTATGGCAACTTAAAGTCTTCAGAAAAGTTTAAAGTTTTAGAACTACCTTGTTACACTTTAACATGGGTGCTATTGGTACTCTGATGATGTCTAGATGGTATTCAATCTCCTGCCACTTCTTCACAATCGTGTACAGAATTACAGTTACAGTTGTTGCAGCGACCCTCTCTCTAAAGTAGTGAATGTTCCTTATCTTCTCAAAGTCATTTTAAGCCTCAAGGTCATATTGTTGTTTGTTTGTTTGTTTTAGTATCCAGAAGCCATGAGTTGTTAACCCTTAGGCTGGGTATTATGGATATCGCAACCTTTCGGCCTTGATTCCATTGTAAATACCGTAAATCTGGGAGAAATGTGGCTTTCCTGCCTACCCCCGGGATTGAACCCGGACCACAAGGAGTTTGTCACCCGGTCTCCGCACAATCTGATTTAGCCAACTATGCTAGAGAGCCGGGCCTCAAGGTCATATAAAACTTTAAACTTTTCTGCACATTTCAAGATGCCACACATGTATGTCCATTAAATAGTTCTTTTGTAAAAACACGTTAAAATCCCAGCAATCTTCCTGTGTGAGTTCTGGGTGCTCAGTATGGGGAGAAAACAAGATTAGAGCCGCTGCCATCCCTAACAAGCATATCATAAGAGTCAACTATTTAAGGGTTCACTTCAAAGTCGGAGCAAATCTGCCTGAGGGGCAAGGAATCAACAGTGTGCATAAAAATAAGCCAGATGTGTAAAATAGATGTGCATATAAATCTCAAGTTCTGGAACAGGATTAAAGTCCAGAAGTGGGCAAACAACCAGAACTTTCCGCCAGAGTTAACAGCTGGTTAACACCAAGAAGAAGAGGTGCTACATTAATCCATTCTATCCTAGTTGTTACTTAACTCCTTCTGTGCCTTGGCTTTATTATTTTACATCAGTAAAACTCAAAGAGTGTCACTCTAAATTGCAACAGCTGTGAGATAGAAAGTGTTGATTTATCAGCAGCCTTGGATAGAAAGAGTTGAAGCTTTGTGTAGATGACAGTATTTATTAGGAGGGCGACATTTCCAGACAGAACCCAATGAGACACCTACCTGACTCTGCTTGTCTGCAGACACACCTCGCTGCATCAACTTGGAAAACAGCAAGTAACTGTTCTCCTCTATAGGCAGGAAAATGAACCGAGCAGCCAGGGAGCCCAAGTTGGAAACAACATCATAGACACCTGGACAACAAATGTTTATGAGTTACTCAAGTTTTTATATTTTAATGCATAATATTATTTTACAAACTGTACTGGTTCAGTAGTTAGTGTGCCTTCAACAATCACTGTAACAGTATCTCTGTGGTAGCAGCTGGCCAGGTTATTAGAGTGCTGGGCTCTCATGTGAAGGATCCAGGTTCTATCCTTGGTAAAGAATAAAAAAATTTTCTTAGCAGTGTAAAAATAAAATTCTAACATTCTGCAACATTTTTAAAAAAGGTTTTACGTAACACAAGCTCACCTTGATCTCCATAACTGAGAACATCAAAGAATGTCATCACAAACTTTTCTCCTGAGGAAGACAAATATAAACTGAGTTAACACGGTTGTACACTATAGTACATTTCAGTGTCTAGAGCCAACTAGACCCAGGTCAACTTAGTTAGTCGACAGATTATCCTCATTGCACGTAGAACCACTCAGTCCATAAATGCTCCGATCCCCTCTTCAGTAAATCCCGCAGCGTTTAGCGGCTAACGACACCATTTCTGTGTTGGTTTATTATATTTCTTTGACTACGCGCGTAGTGTTCTTGTTTGGCCACACCCGGGTTAACATGTTGTTCTTGCAGTCTGACCATGGTTGCGGATTCACAGTTCTCGGTTCAGGCAAACGTCTTAACTCTCTTAGAGCATTCAGTATATCCGCCTGGTCCACGGCTTGTCCGACTTTCACAGTAGCCTTACCTGCAAGTCTATCAGCTTGCTCATTTCCTAGTATCCCACATGTCCTGGCACGAATATGATACTAAGCCTTGTCAGCCGTGAATTCTCTAGATCCACCAACCACTGCCTTCGGACCCAGCCTCTCTATCTTCCTGAGCATACTCATCAAGTCACTGAGAAAGCATGCTCCAGTGAAAGTTTGTGTCTCTAGCCATGTTACTGCTTTAGTCACAGCCATGACCTCCATAGTCAGACTACTTGTAAGGTCAACTGTGCATGTTTGTTATTTGACCTAAACATGGTTAATACAAGGTCTGACCATTATGTTCTGAGACCGAAACTTTTTTCCAATCAGTTGCTAAATCTACCAGTTAGTGAATTTCCACTTCCTCTACTGTGTTTGCCCTGAAAAGGATGGTTGGCATGCTGTGTTGTGGTTTAGAACAAGGCTGCAGTATCGGTGCCTTGTGGCCCAAAACATCCAGTTTCAGAAAACTCCTGATTAGATGACTTTTATGACATGAAAGCCCTAAAAAGCACACTTGGAATGTACTTTTCAAAATCCCCTTCCAAGTAGTGCCTTCTAATTATATACTCCTGTTTCAGCAACTCTTGTCAATGATGGAAGCACCTCAGTAGCTATTTTCTCTACAGTCCTCAACTGACTTGTCCTGTTAGCTTCTTCTTCAGTTTCTTCTTGAAGTGCACCAGCTGTAAACTTTAGCAGACATTTCTGGTTGTTCATCCACTTCTAGACTTTGGTTTGGTTCCAGAACTTTTGTGCACACATCCATTTTACAGATCTAGTTTATTTGTAGGCAGACTGTTGGTTCCTTGCCTCCCAAGCAGATGTAACCTGACCAGAAAAAAACACCCCTAATTAGTTGACTTTAATGACATGCTTGTTTGAAGAATGGTGAGTGTAATCTATAGGTGGCGAGTGTAATCTATAGGTGGCGAGTGTAATCTATAGGTGGCGAGTGTAATCTATAGGTGGTGAGTGGAATCTATAGGTGGCGAGTGGAATCTATAGGTGGCGAGTGTAATCTATAGGTGGTGAGTGGAATCTATAGGTGGTGAGTGTAATCTATAGGTGGCGAGTGTAATCTATAGGTGGCGAGTGTAACCTATAGGTGGCGAGTGTAACCTATAGGTGGCGAGTGTAATCTATAGGTGGCGAGTGTAATCTATAGGTGGCGAGTGGAATCTATAGGTGGCGAGTGGAATCTATAGGTGGCGAGTGTAACCTATAGGTGGCGAGTGGAATCTATAGGTGGTGAGTGTAATCTATAGGCGGCGAGTGTAATCTATAGGTGGCGAGTGTTACCTATAGGTGGCGAGTGTAATCTATAGGTAGCGAGTGTAATCTATAGGTGGCGAGTGTAATCTATAGGTGGTGAGTGTAATCTATAGGTGGCGAGTGTAATCTATAGGTGGCGAGTGTTACCTATAGGTGGCGAGTGTGGTCTATAGGTGGCAAGTGTAATCTATAGGTGGCAAGTATAATCTATAGGTGGCAAGTGTAAACTATAGGTGGTGAGTATAATCTATAGGTGGCAAGTGTAATCTATAGGTGGCAAGTGTAATCTATAGGTGGCAAGTGTAACCTATAAGTGGCAAGTGTAAACTATAGGTGGTAAGTGTAATCTGTAGGTGGCAAGTGTAACCTATAGGTGGAAAGTATAATCTATTGGTGGCAAGTGTAACCTATAGGTGGCAAGTGTAACCTATAGTTGGCAATTGTAACCTATAGGTGGCATGTGTAACCTATTGGTGGCAAGTATAATCTATTGGTGGCAAGTATAATCTATTGGTGGTAAGTATAATCTATTGGTGGTAAGTGTAACCTATAGGTGGCATGTGTAATCTATAGGTGGCAAGTGTAACCTATAGGTGGCAAGTGTTACCTATAGGTGGCGAGTGTGGTCTATTGGTGGCAAGTTTAATCTATAGGTGGCATGTGTAATCTATTGGTGGCAAGTGTAATCTATTGGTGGCGAGTGTAATCTATTGGTGGCAAGTGTAACCTACAGGTGGCAAGTGCAATCTATAGGTGGTGACTGCAGTACTAACAGAGATATCCATGTGCATTGCAAGTCATCTGTCAATATCATCATCATGTTGTGCCTTTATACGTCGCATACATTCGCAGTCTAGTTCTCTATTTTGTTCAATTCTGTGCAGTCCTTTCAGAATCATATTGGAAATCTAAACCAGCACAGCAGCCTTTCTCAACAACATTCACCTTTGAGTTTTTGTTGGATATTCTCATTTCCTCAGTCAAATTGTTTCCACTGTCAGAGCCTGTTTATTGATAAAATCATCCTATGCCAACCAACCAACAAACCAGAAATAACAAATCTAACTTGACTAAATGTCCATGCAGAAATCTCCCTGACCTTGACACAGACACTGCTGACCTCAACAGTCTTTGACATAAACAACTAAACAGTTAATGAAAAATAAGGAATGCAGGCAATGATTACAAAACAAATACTTGCCTTCGGTTAAAATTTGCTTGAGGAATGACTGCTTGAAAAAACTCCAAGTCAAACTGGCCAAGTGAACATCAATAAATGGCTAAAGAATTTGAAAAAAACAATGAACATTAACTCTTTCAGTATCAAGAAACTCACAGCAATATAATTCACTACTCATTTAATGGCATAGACATCTGAACTTTGTTCTCCCATTCTTCTGTCTGAGTTACCCACAATACTCCAGTCACTACTTTAACTCATTTCAACTAATACTGTATATTTTCCTACTTATTTAGACAAAGATTTTTATTCCAATAAACATATAATATGGGAGTTTTAAAATAGCAAATGTCTGGGCAGGGGGGAAAAGTTACAAACTGATGTTCAAGAGATTTTTAGCATTTATATAGACACCACATCCTAGCGACTTAAAGCTCACTTCTAAATTTTTGATTCACCATCCAAAATTCAGGCATACAGCAGTACTGAAAGCTTCAAGCATTCTAAGACTGGGTTTATAATTTCTGTATAGACAAACGCCATCTTGGGTGCCCAACCCTATCTGTCAGTTGAGTATATCAACAGCCATCCCAGTGTTGATCACAATTTTTTTGCTTTTTTAAAGCATCACTCAAGCAGTTGTCGGGGGCCCTAATACAACCTCAGGGTTCAATGGGGTTTCTGGGGCTTGTGCCCAGGTGATCCTCATCCAAACGGTGTCACTTTCACACCTTTCCCTGCCTCACTCACCTACTACTTAACCATTTAATGCCAAGTTCTCTATTTCAGGTATTCTGCTGATAGGCCGTTCTCCTTTCATTTGCTTTTTCCTTATAGAACTGTGGATGATCTAGTCTTCTTCTTTCACAGGCTGCAAACTCCTAAGGAAATTTCTGGTCATTCGTCCAGCTCTGGACTTGAGTCTTGTTCCAGAACGTGATTGTTGCGTGCACATCTGTTTAAGAGATCTGACTATGTGTATGCAGACTGTTGGTTCCTTGCCTCTCAGATAGACGCACTGTGACTTCCAAGTTAGTCAACTCTTACGACATGCTTGATGGGGAGGCAGTGGTTCTATTCTTATTGTCCCCACAATGGGGCACCGGAACCAATGCAGGAATGGATGAACTTGTAATTCAAAGAGATGTAAATATCCCAATGCTGTTTTCTTCTCTGTCCACAATATTCTCAAAATTATCTCTGCTACCAGTTTTCACAATGTTAATTTGTTCAAAATTAACATGTCCCAATATTTAACTGTAGAAAATGAGCACATCCCAATAATTTAACTGTAGAAAATGAGCAATGTCCCAATAATTTAACTGTAGAAAATGAGCACATGTCCCAATATTTTAACTAAAAAATTCTTCGAGTAGTTTCTTGAGCCTTATGTGAGGGGGAACAGAAACAAACACCCCCCCCCCCTTTCCCTTTCCGAATTAGGGCTTTGCTGAAATCGACCGTGATGGGCTGAAAGATGCAAATACTACAGCCTAGCTGCAAACCTCAACACAACATGCCTACCTGCCTTCAACAACTAATGCAGAAGAATAACTGTAGAAACACTAAAGTTAACTGAGTAAATGAAGCATGTTACAATAATGAACTGTTATAAAACAAGTGCAGCTCCATGGTTTAGAGGTTGGTGAATGTGGTTAACAATTTCCTACAAAGGTTTATTTGCCACCGCCGCCGCCACCAGGAACAAAAACCATTCTCCTGGATTGTGGACAATTTGCGGGAGTCGCACCATGGAAAAGATTAGGGACTCATCAGGTAAAATTCCCAAAGACAACAGTGGTACACTGCAGCCTACTTTCATTGTGGAGATGGCACAGAATGAAATAAAAATCAAAATAAATAATTAAAACAAACATATTACTAATTTTAGAAAATTCCTCAACCTTCACTGTGGAGTAGGCACAGAATTTAAAAGAAAAAGAAATAAATAAAACAAACATATTACTACCTACTTTAAGAAAATGTGGACATTACTATAAAACTGTAGAAAATTAACACATAAATTCCCCTACCTTATCAGTCAGTATACAAGGATACATGTCTGCCACAGACTTCAGGGGAAAATCTTCTGCCTTCTTCTTGTTGGAAGAAATATAATGAGCAAAGTAGATATGGTACATGGCTGCATAAGTCACACTGGATACAACCTGTATGAGAGAAATGTTTGAGTTACTATTGTAATTAGTTTCCCATTATAGAAACATGTATTTTTTTTTTTTTTCATTTCTGTTTACTCTTAGTGTGTCCATTTGAAAACTGTTTTTACCAGCTCATTATTGGAGTAAACTGTGAAGTTCATTGATTAAGACTGATATATAATTAGGAAAAAAACCGTTCTCAAATACTAACTAGTCTTACCTAAACATTGACTCCAACTAAAGTTTAACACTGATTCCAATCATACTCAAGCACCGACTCCAACCCTACCCTAACATTGATTCCAATCATACCCAAGCACCGACTCCAACCCTACCCTAACATTGATTCCAATCATACCCAAGTACCGACTCCAACCCTAACCTAACCCTGATTTCAACTATTACCTAGTTAATTCATCCTGTCTGCTACAGCGCATGTCTTTTTTTTTTAATGGTAGGTAACAACAACAACAAAGTTAAGGACCCTTTTCCATGCCTTTAGGTGCACTGGGTAAATAGGGCTGGACCTATATTTCATAGACCAATCAGCACTCGGTGGCTGATGTGGTCAACATCTTGCTGGCCACCTTGACTTCCCAGGACTGTACCTAGTATACATTTAAGGCTGGGCGGACCTGGCAGCCGAGGTCATTTTTGAAAAATGTCTGGCTCTGTCAGGACCCAAAACCTAAAACCTTCTGATCCGCAGGCAACGTCTAGACCCCCCCCCCCCCCCCCTAACCACCCGCATTAAAGGCATGAAAAAGCTACTTTCCTCACTGCATATCTGCTAATCACCATCATCATCCCGCCATGCCATTTATACGCATATGGTTCCTCAGATAACTCCATTCTGCTCTTACCTGTTAATGCACCTGGATAAAATAGGGAAAGAGAATAAAGAGAAAAATTGATTGCAGAAAGGATAAGAGCTGAGCATCTGAGAAGAAAACACCCTAAATATATATGATGTCGACAAAGGTGCTGTGTTCGGGTCTTGCTAGTCACACTCGCCATCACCTTGGGCTGTGAGTCTTATGCCTTCTTATAGTACAATATAACACTATCGCTTAGAAAGACAGAAAGGTGACAACCAACTAAGAACAAATATGTATGTTGAGTGCTGAAAATGTATTTGCGCCAGAACATACTATCGCAGTTAAATGATCTTAACCACAGCTGCACACTAGCCACACTCACCTGAGCTATGGAGAAGTTGACGATGCCCCACTGCGGCTGCTTCAACACCAGAATCACTGTGATGATACATTTAATCCCCTGCGATATACCAAGCAGCACAACCTATAAGGAAATAAATCAATACACAATCTTACCTTGCCTTTATACAATTGTATTTAATTACCATTTCTGTTGTCTCTAAATGAGATAATTTTAGGAGAGAATTCAACAAATTTCTGGCCAGATATTTACAAATTGGACATCAAACTTGTGAACAGTTTCTATTTCAAACAACAAGTGATGTGTGATTAGTTTTTTCCGGTGAATACGCGCCATCACATAAAAAGTTCTCAAATTCTTTTACAACAGGAATGACTAGAGGATCTGGACAACACTCTGTGGAAAGGACAGGCAGATATATAATCAAACTGCTACATGCACCTTCAGAACTGCAATTCTTTGCTGGCTGCTGAAGATGAGAACAGAGTGCTTATAGGAATGTCCAGAGTCATGTCAATTCTTAGCTCAACACTCAACACAGTGTACCATTTTTTAAAATCTGGCCACACTTATTGCTGGTTCTACTGTATATTAACCCTTGTAAAGTTCTCATATATATGAAGGGGAAAGATCAGAATCAAATAGCTCAAGAGTTAGAGGGTGGCAGTAGATAAGGTGATCGACTAATATACAGAGATGAGTGCTGTAATTAACTCAGAAAAGGTAACTATCCTGTGGTGTTCTTTGAACACCAGGATTGTTAGAGGTGATGTTCCAAGCCTCAAAACAAATGGCAGGGACATCAAGAGAGACAGTAGACTGCGGTACCTGGGAAACACCTTTGACAGAAGTTTGTCTTTCAAGGATTACATAGAGGGGGTTTTGACAAAGGCTCAAAAAGGTCTTAATGCAGAAAGATGATGGCAGCGATGGACATGGAGCAGAGAATGCTGTTCATGCTTTACCAGCACTTAATCATCTCAGTGATTGATTATGGATTGGGGTTACTCACTGTCTCGAAGAGTCAGCTAGAGAAACTGGAGCACATACAGAATGAAGCTATGCATGTGATCCTGGGATGTACAAGAGACACACCGATTGTGTGCATGCCATACATTCTTGCATTGCCCACTATTGCAGATAGACTAAAGGTGTTGCAGGCTAAGTCATACCTCAGTGTAGCTGCCGATAAAGAACACCCTCTGTATGAAGCTTTGGCTGCAGGTAAGGGTCAGAGGCTGAAAAGGGGAAAATCATGGATGGCTCAAGCAGAAGACACAATAAGACAAGTATGCATGCTAAAGAATGCTGGGCGAGGAGTGGATCAGAGTACCAGAGGAAAAGTCTGACCTGTGTAGGGTTACGATAACATTGGGCCGGGTGTGCAGAGAGTGGCCAGCAGGTGCTACGGAGGTGGAGGTCCAACAGTTGATTCACGACAATTCTTGTCTAGATGTTCTGATTATCTATACAGGTAGTTCGATGTTGAGAGGGAAGAGAAGTGCCTGGTTATTCGTAGCGAAAGCCAATGGAAAATCTTTAGTGCAGTACAGACTAGCATATGATACGACAACATCTAGTATGAGAATGGAGGTGAAGGCGGTAACTGCAGCTTTCCGGCGGCTAGAGAGCAAGATGCATACACATGTCAAAATTGTAACAATCTCTGAAAGCATGCTGAGAAAGGTGAAGACAGGGATGCTTTGAGCAGAGTGGCAAGCTTCATTGGAAAGGTCACGGTTGGTAAGCATACAACGGATCTTTTCTCCAGGCAATGCCGGCGTGGTGGGGAATGAACAGGCAGACTGGCTGAATCTGCACCACTGGATGGTAAATTGATACATGACAAGGCAGATGTGGTTAGAACCCTCTAGGAAAAAGCAATAGTCAAAAGCAAAACAAGATTATTCTGGCCTGGAGAGAATGAGGCACCGAGTGTAACCAGGGGTCTGGCCGGCTCACTACACTCAGAGGAAAGGCAAGACAGACATATAACCAGATTATGACTGGTATCATTTGTATTGGAACTCTGCGTTGCTGCTGAAGTTGGAGTGGAGCACACAAGGAAATGCTCTGAGTGCTGTGATGTCAATTCTTGACTCAACTCAACTGTGTATAGATGGATATTCAGTTGGACTGTTAACAATGAAATAGCTAAAATGTGAAGAAACCTTTACTAATTTAAGCCTAATCTGAGCCAGCCTTATGTCCTATGCTTAAGCACGATCTAGTTACATCCTTAAGCCCTCTCTGCCACTGTGAGTTTCCAGTACCAGTCTTGCAAACCTTGCAGGCTTCTGAATTGGGGAAAAGAAACTAGAGATGTTCCATTCCTTTCCTGCCTTTGCATTCACCGGTTGTTAACTCTGGCAGAAAGTTCCGGTTGTTTTTTTCCACTTCTGGACTTTAACATTGTTCTAGAATTAAACTTTTGCGTGCACATCTATTTTACAGATATGGCTTATTTGTATACAGACTGTTGGTTCCTTGCCTCTCAGGCAGATGCATTCTGATTTCGAAGGAAACTCTCATGACAATCTTGTTAGATAGGCAGTGGGTCTCTCCTGCCCCCTGCCCCCTCCTCCTTCTATCCAATAATGGGGCCCCGGAACCCAAAGAGAGTTGTTTAATACAGTCCTCTGTGAGAATATTCCTGTACAAGGTCAGGCGGGAGGTATGTACACACACTCCACTCTAGTAGATGCAAACCTCTTTCTGAGATCAATACATTGAAAGTCAACACATCAACCTTAACAAGCTCTAACTCTGTCTATCAGAGTACACAACCACTTATTCACCTTAACAAGCTTCAACTCTGTCTCTCAAGTACACAACCACGCATCCACAATGATCCAGACCACTATACAGACACATATGAGAGACTGATATTTAATAACAGAACATTTGCAGAAAATTTTTGAATGTTGTAAATTTTGTGTGTGTGTGTGTGTGAGTGTGTGTAGAATGTTTATTCGTTTAACAGGCAGACAAAAACTACTAATATCTGTCATTGGCTTCAATTCTAACATTTTTTTTTTTCAATTCTGAATACAGTAATAAATAATGCACAACAAGAAGGAAAAAAAAATTTTTAAACAATGTTTAAAAACAAAATGATACATGTGTAACCATACACATTCATCAAAAAAATTAATCTCCATGAGCACCAAAAAAAAAACTCCCCAATAAAAGAAAATCTACACATTTTATTCTAAAAGTCACGATTGCAGAGTGGCCTGCTCACAAAATAGTGATAGATTTGAATCGCCCACCAAGACAGATTTTTTTTCAAATGAACCTGAGTTTTCAGTGTGACCAAACCTAAAATAACAAAAATATCCTGAGAAATTATAATCACCATGGCTGGCACAATATTAACTAACACACCCTCTGAGCGTGGAATGGTTTATAAAACATATGTGGTTTGCACTATATGCTAATATACTTCAAGTTGGGAGCTGAGTGGTCTTGAGGTATGGTGTCTGCCTCGAGTGCTAAAGGTCCCGGGTTCAAGCTCTGGTCTCTGGGTAGTAAGTTCAGATGCCCATGTGTATTCTTGTGCAGGTAAAAAAAATCCCTTGGCAACTGTAAATCGAAAAAAAGTAGCCTAACGGTGCTGAAAGAGCAAAATTTTGAGTTAAAAATCTACCCAAAGTATTTCAGTATCCTCGCTGGTGCAACGGAGTTCGTGCACTGCTCTGAGATTCTTAAGACTCAGGCTTGAGTAGAAGTAGAATGGAGCACCTATAGGTTACACCCGTGTGCCATGCTGTTGATTCATCGAATAAACATAAACCTCAAGAAGTGAACATAGACCTTTTCATATTATTCTGATTCCTTTAAAGTTTTTAAACTCACCTTGAGACGAACAAACAGAAAAGCTTGTCCTACCACAAACAGAGGTTCTGCTAGGACTTCAATGATGGTAGACAGTGCGAAACAGACAACACCAAATGTGTAACCCGATACAGATGTAGTGGTGGATGGATTCTCCAGTACATACAGCCATACCATTCCTAAACAACCACTAAATAAAATGGCCAAAGGGAATCTGAAATCAATGTGCAATACATTAGTAAGAGAAATCATGAACTGTTCTTCTGCTTTTCATATCTCAATGGAGCATAGGGTTTTAACCAACTCATGTCAAGCTCTTAATATAAATAATGACTGGTTAGATTCTTTTTCACCCGAAGATGTAAAAGCACTGTGCCCATTTACAATATGGCTGCCACATTTGCACTTTTCAGCTGACACATCAACTTCTGCAGGCATTTGATGGTTTTTTTCAGATGTTTGTTTATTTCTTGATGTTATTATTCTTCCACTTGTACTGCTGTCTGCCCCTTGTTCACTTGCCTACAACTTTTTCCTCCAGTAAGGTTTTTAGAAGAGTGTTGCTTTTTAATATTAAATATTTCACTCTGATTTTTTTTTATATCTTTCAACAGTTCTCTTTTTACTCTGTCTTTTCAAAACCTCTGTATTTAATAGTTTTTGTTTCCATGAAATGCGACAAAAATTATTTAGGATCAGAAATTATTTTTATGCCATCTAGATTATTTTATAAGACTGCATAAATCCTGAAACCATGTGGTCACGATGAAAACTTCCACTTTGTGCAGGAGCTGAACCCAGGCGCACAGCACTCACTATTAGGTGCACTAGCAAGATGTGGCAATGGTTCCTATCTTTCACTTCTGGTAACCAAGGATGTAGAAAATGGTGCCTAATTAAAGGTCTGCTAAAACCGGATGTGTTGAGGTGAAAGGCACATAGCTGTAAATCTCAACAGAATGTGCTAACTGCCTTTTTTAAGGCGGACAGAAGGAGGAGAATTTATGGGAGAAAAGATGCTGGACAGTTAGACATCCTGGCATGGAGGATCATCTGTGTCAGGGTTGACTGAAAGCACACAAGACAGAAGGTTGTGGATGGACATGATTACCAATGCCACACAGCATGGACTTAAAGAAGAAGAAACATTTATTCTGTCTAACTGGAATTTTAAAAGCTGAAGTAAAGACTAACAATAATCATAACTGTGCTGTAATGGCAAGGCACTTGATGATAATGATGTTTTTTTTTAAAAACTTCTTACGTGCACCAGAGCAGGTTGATGACTTGTTTCCAGTCACTTGTGGTAGATTTACTGAGACATGCCCGATCAAAGGCTTCTTTGGTTAGAAACAGGGTTGTTGAATACAGCAGAGTCAGTCTGTAGAAATAAGTGTATGAAAAGAAGCAATAAAATTTCCAAGTTTAAAACAAGATATCAATACCATGTAGCAGATCCTTTGTAGAACACTGCTCATGTCACTGCCAGTCAGTCTAAAAGAAGGACCCGCCAGCTCTCCTGACTCATATACTTTCCTGTCCAAAGTCTCGTTTATGTCCTGTGCTCACCTTTGTGCTGACTGGCCTCTGTTTTTCTTACCCAGTGCCATGGCCTCCATTACTGATTTTTCAAAGACATGATGTCATTTGACATGGCCAAAGTATTTCAGTTTCTGACACAAGATGTTATTAATGAGCCAAATTTGTATCCATACATGTCCGGAGTGCAATGTTGATAACCCAACAAACTAAGTAACTAACTAACAAATTTGTATCCATGTGCAGATTTTTTAGAATGTGAACATTTATTTTCCTTTTGGTCCATAGTATTGTCAGAATCTTTCTTAGCATTTCAAGCTCAAAAGCCGCTATTTCTTCCTTAACTCTTTGAGTCCCAAAGGGTTTAGCATCACAGGCCCAAGTGGTAGTCAAAAGAGACGTAAAATCAGTGCATCATGCGTTCATTGGGCTTCGAAGGCAGTAAAATATGAACGTATGATGAGTTCCTTGGGATTCCAAAGAGTTAAGGTTGGTGAGATAGTCCATGACTCACATCCATAATTTGCTACAAGGAAGATAATCGCTCTCAAAATGTTGACCTTAATCTGCCTCCTGCTGCCTAGTAATAGGCTTTTACCAACAGAAAAGAAATGACACAAAGAAAGGACATATTATTACCATCTAAAAAGCATTCAAGGTTGTGAATTCTGAACAATTAACAAACAAACCAAACAATTTCTTGAGACCTCAGAGATGTGGTTTTACAGAAGAATCCTTAGAATTTCTTGGACAGCCAAAAAGAGCAACCCAGATGTCTTGTAAGAGAGGTGGGCTCTAAGACAACTTATCTCAGACATGAGAGAGAGAGGTAGTCATAATGCTGGGTGGGTCATGTTATGAGAAGAAGGAAACTGAAAGATGTTGTGACCACTGGAAAGATCGCTGGAAAAAAGAAACACAGTAAGGGAACATCTGAAAATTCATCACTGCTTTTTGAAATGGCATAGAGGGGTGTCAAAATACAAACTGACACATGCAGTCACAGACCACAGATAGTGGAGAGACTTGATCGTAACACGGAAAGTCGGAAAGGTGCTTAATGATGATAATGAAATGGCCTTAGCAGTTGATTTAACTGTTCTGCCAAAAACTGCCATTACTGTCTGTATGTAACACGTCTGCAGTGCAAGCAGGCAGGTGATTAGTGATTAGAGAGGATTATCATCACAGCACTCTGGACAGACTCTGATCTCCTCAAAACCTCCACAAGTGTAGAACGACTGATGACGCCTGTTCTGTGTTGGTTAATGAAACGTCTGGTCCCCTTAGTGAAATGTTAATTTCTTGCATCTCCAGGCTGCACCCCCATGTCCATCAGTCTAGGCAGGGATTCAGAATAAGCAGGCAGGTCTTTGAGCTGAAGGAATTAGGGTTGCATAGCTGGTGCTGTCACCAAAGACTGTGCAAGTTAGGATTTTAATTTTGCCCCCAACAGGAAAACCCATAACCTTATCAAGGATTTAAACCTAGGTCTTCTGCATGAAAGCTCAGCTTTCTTAATCGTTTTCTAACTTTTCAGTCAATGAAAATGTGCAGCCTGAATAAAAAATATTTTTGGGTTATTTTAATTTGCACCAGTTGAATTATTTTTTTCATATTAAGCATTAGTCTCTTGGATTCTGGGGGTCTCAGTTGCGAGCTGGTCAAACTGCCTCTTGGTCTGAAGGTCATAGGTTTGTTTCCTGGTTGCCCCATTCAGTTCTTGAATGCAATTTTCAAGGAGATCCCTGGGGATTATTGGCAGAGCTACGAAATTCATGCCCCGTGTGACGCTCTCGGCTGACGGCTAGCCATTCTGCAGAGATAAACCAGGCCAAATTGGATAAAAACCCGGTGCAAAGAAGTCGATCCTCTTAACTTTAACTTTCAACCTGTGCTGGATTCTGTTCCCCCCCCCCCCCCCCCACCCCCTTTTTCCCCTTTTTGTTTGACAAACACATTCTTCTAAGTGTATGACATTTCTTAGCAGCATCTATCATATCAGTTTTAACAGTTGCAGTTTATCATATAAAATGTCTACCTTTACATGGAAATGAATTTTGTTTACAAGATAGATAACAACTATAGAAAAAACATGCAAAAATACCTCACGTTAACAATGCCGAGAACATCTTGTGAAACATAGCGCAGGATGAAAGCATTCAGGACAAATGTTGTCAGTCGCAATCCAAGCTTTGAAACAACAACAAATATTTTAAATTTTCTGCCCAATGTGGTTAACTCAAATGTAGCGGCAAAATGTGCACAAAAAAGTTAACAACAAATCAATCTTTTTTTTCAATCTCCCTCCAGTGGCTTTTAGAAAAGAAGGCTATAAGGCCTCTATGATTTTGAGGTGGGACATATGTCTTCTACTGTTCCATACAGAATGCCAACAACTGATGCATGATAAGGCAGATGTGGTGAGTGCCTTGTAGAAAAGCGTGTAAAGTTCTGAGGAGCAGATGGATCACCACAGTCGGGTGAGACTGATGCAGCGGGGAGTGATGAGGGGTTCTGGCAAATGCACGAGGCTCAGAGGAAAGGCAAACCAGATATTTAATCATAATGCTATTGGCACCATTAGTATCGTAACTCTGGCTGGCTGCTGAAGATGAGGACGGAGCGCTTATGGGAATGCCCCTAGTGCTGTGATGTCGGTTCTTGTATCAACTCAACTCAGAATGCCAACAGGCCAAAACTAGGATCTCTCCACTGAATGCAGCTAACATTTCTGTAGCAAATGTTGACAGGGGCAAAGTTCTGCACAGCGCCCTGGTAAACTAATGCACGACAAGGCCCTTTGTGAGTGAACAATGTGAAGGCACCATTACATGGTCTGAAGAGAATGGCACAACAGTGAGTGACCAGGGGATCTGGCCGACACTTTACACTCAGAGGAAAGGCAAAATGGACAATCACACTGCTACTGGGGCAAAGTTCTGCACAGCGCCCTGGTAAACTAATGCACGACAAGGCCCTTTGTGAGTGAACAATGTGGAGGCACCATTACATGGTCTGAAGAGAATGGCACAACAGTGAGTGACCAGGGAATCTGGCCGACACTTTACACTCAGAGGAAAGGCAAAATGGACAATCACACTGCTACTGGTATGATTGTAGCTGAAACTCTTTGCTGGTTTGCTTAAGATGACAGAGTGCTTATGGTAATTCCTAAATGCTTTTATGTCAGTTCTTGGAACTCAATTTCTTCTTCTTAAGGTCTATGCCATGTGGCATTGGTAGTCATGTCTATCTACAACATTCTGTCTCGCGTACTTTCAATCAACTCTGGCACAGATGATCTTCCATGCCATGATGTCAAACCGTCCAGCATCTGTTCTCTCAGTCTCCCTCTTGCCTCTCCTTTTCTCCAACTTAGGATGTACTCCAGTTTTCTCCTTCTCATCACATGCCGAAAGAATGTAGATTGTCTCTTTCTGATGTGGGCAATCGTTTCTCTTCGTGAGTCAGTTTCTTTTAAGATGTCTTCATTACTCTTTTTAATCTGTCTAGGGTATTCTTATCATTTGTTAATAAAATCACATCTCCGCAACTTCTCAAAAAAGTGTTTACTAATTTACTAACTGTCCATGATTCACATCCATATATCAATATAGGATTTATATAAACTCAACTAACGGAAAAAATTATGAATAACCAAACCTGAATTTCCTGTACACATAACTACAGAATCTGCTGTGCCTTAAATATGATGGTCCATTTCTTTCAAGTGAGGAAGTTGACTGGGTTTTCTGGATCGTGTGCTGTGTGGGAGGTGTTCCAGTGGGTTCTAATGGCTGCCTTGATCTTCTTATTTTCCTTTGAATTGAATCTTGTATCTGGTTATTCTGTATGACATCCAATTTTTTTTTCTATGTAATCTGCTCTTTTATTTTCCTTACTGTTGTAGTGGCCTGGGATCTACTGGAGCACAGTCTGTGCTGTTAACTGACCCATTTGATTTAGCATAGAACTAAACTTGTTGAATTGTAGTCGCTTATCATTTTGTATTGCTTGCAATACTTTAGCAAGCTTGTATAACCACTTTTGACTCAGAGCTGCATCGATAATAAATTAGATAAAAGAAAACAATGTCAATTACACAATATATGACCATAGTTTTCTATAACAATGTGTTTATATTCAAAGTGCAGATGGGGAATTGCAGAACAGGATGTTCAAAGGATAGTCCATTGCAGTCATAACTACCAACATCTTTTGTGTGTGTGGCTAGTGTAAGTCTTACATGGGTCCCCTGCCCCTGCCCGAAGCCAAGTAGAATCATTTTAAAGAGGCCTTGTAAATGCATTGTACTCTGTCCTGTTTTAAAAGAAGTTCCATTGCATTGTCCCTCTTTTCACTGTGGTTTTCCCGGGGGTAGGCAGAAAAGCCACATCTCTCCCAGATTAAAGAAGTTCACGGTTGCCATCATGCTGAGTGTTGCTACGGCAAACTTCATCATTTGTTATGTTCTCTGCATGATACACCAAGGATCTAAAAGATTTCATTTTCAGTGCTTGGATTTTCCTTTGAAGTTTGGATGTTAAGGCCTATGTTTCACAGTTTTATGCGAATGTACTAATAGCTAGTGCTCTAAATGGCCTTTTTTTTTTTTTTTTTTTCGTTAAACTGTTTTGATAGATACTGAAGTATCAACAATAAATACATCACAACAATGATACTCTGTGCTAGAAAACTGTCACACAATTCTAATAGAACCCAGAGTGATGAAAATAGGGATGACTGTAGTCAAGTTAGTTTCTCAGATATGTTGTTAGAATTACTTACACTTCTATTTGATAAGGTTCAAACCAAAATGTCCGATTGTTCCTGTGTTTGTGTTTTTCCCTTTCCACCTTTGTAAAGCTTTCAAGTCACAGGTCAGTGGATTCATTTCTACCAGAACCAACACACTGGTCACTAAAGTATCATCTGCACTGACATTTATATAATGTAAGTGCTAAAATAAAATAACAGGGAGACAAAATCTGCCATTTCAAAAGAGATGAATGGGACTAGACTAAGAGGTAGACCAGGAAAATAGTGGAGAGATAATATGGAAGCAAACCTACAAACACTTGGAGTCACCAACTGGAAAGAGAAGACCAATCACTCAGATCAATGAAGGTGGGCAAGATCTACATCCCCAAGGGCTCAGAATGCCGATGAATAAAAAATAAATACCACAGAAATAGAAGTAACTGTCCCTGAATCTTTCTTAAAGTGGTATTTTTTAAACAAGACATGCATTAAAATAACACAATAAAAGGTAAATTATCTCTGCTGTGACACTTAAAACAATACAAGCACAAAGTTATAAAACTGCTGATGAAGTCTACCTGCAGTAGCATGTTGTATGAAGCTGCTTTTGCAGCCCCTGATACAACTGCTGATCCATCCATGGCTAGATGATTTTCTGAGATAATGATTCAGATAACTGAAGTATAGTTAACAAGTCAGCAACTCTCATCACAAAAACAGAACCAGGATCTGAAACAAGAAATCAGTAAGGCATGGATGTATTTACAGCTTATAGCACAATATCGCCAAACAAATAAAAGTACACATCTTGAGAAAATGTATCTTTCCCGTGGCAACATGCAGATGCAAAGTGCAAAGTTATTAAATAAGAAAATGTGGGTGATCAGATTCACCTCTTAGTATGAACCCGTGTCCGGTGGCTCATAGTACCAGTACTATGTTGATTAACAAGTCTGCCTGGTGTGCGACTCGTTTTTTGCTATGCTGATCAAAACTCAAAATCTATCATTCTGGCGAGTGATGTGGAGTCACTGCTACCAAAGTCCTCCACCCTTCCCATTTCTCGGAGGCCATTAATAATACCAGCATAATCCATAGGTTGACCGTCAAAAGTGATAGTGGATCTAGCTAACCTATTAGCTCTTTCTTTCCCATCGACACGTGTCCCGGAACGCCCAAAAAAAAGGTGACTCCACGCAGTGGACTTCTTTAATGACTCAAGCCACTGTCTCCACACTGAGTCTGCCTTAACCCTCCAGCTCATACCTACTGAATCATTGAGTACACGTGTGTGCTCGTAGTTTTGTGTTTCGAGCCACGTGAACGCTTGCCTTACTGTGGTCACCTCCATCGTCATGCTGCTATTTGTCATGGAGAAGGCGCCACTGCCTTCTTTAACTATTCTGCCCGCTGAGCATGCTGTGAACGCCCATGAGCTTCTTTATTGGTGCATAATAGATCTGCCTGTGTAGATCAATACATCTGACTCATCTGAATGTTCACAGATGACACCAATGACTTCTGCTTTGACAGCAAAAGGATTTTGCTTCATGTTCCTGAGTGCAGCAATACAGGAAAATGTACAAATAAATGCATGAGGCAAGTGTATCCACTCAGCACCAGGTGTGATGTTGGTCTGGCTGCATATGTGCTTGATAACATCTTCTGCTTAACCTAGCCATTATTTTTCCCTCTTTAGCCTGTTGCCCTTTTCAGTAAAAAGCGCCTCATGCAGTGGGTGTTTCTTATCAGCGCATATTTCAACTCTTTGAGTCCCAAGGGGTTTAGCCTCACAGGCCTAGGGGGTAGTAAAGAAAGTAATAAAATTGGCGTATCATGCATTCATTGGGCTTCTAGGTAGGAACCTATGAACGTATGATGCGTTCCTTGGGACTCAAAGAGTTAAGGTATGCCCGAGCCCTCCAGATCCTGGTCCTTTGGTTGATGCTTGGAAAGTCAAGCTGATATCTCAACTGCTACATAGGAAGTGTCTCTTGTACATCATAAAATAATGTGCATGGCTTCATTGTGCACCTTTTCAAGTTGCTCAATATGTGTAACACTGATAGTGAGTTTGGCTAGAGCATATTCAATGGGGTAAAGGACCAGCCCTGTAGAACATAAATATTAGTAGTCTTTGCTCGATATTGGAAGCAGCCATTATCTTCACTGTAGATATACCTTTGCATGCTTTTGTTATCACACGAACAACATGTTCCCTGAATAACAAGCTGCGATCAAACCTCACCCTGAGATATATCATCACGTTGGTTCTGATCAACACATTATCACCCATTTTCACTTCTGGTAAGTCTGTCTTGACGATGTGATTGTTCAAAGAAAACCATCAAACCAGGGGGAAATTTAAATTCACTGTGCTGGCGATCTCCTGTCTGTCGTGTCCTGGTCGATATATCAAAATGTCATCTGCGAATGATAAAGTTCATTCCCTTTCCATGCAGCTGCCGCTCAGTGATCATCACCGTATATATGTTGAACAAGACTGGTGACTGCGGTGATCCCTGCAGCAAGCCGGGACACATCATTTGCGGTTCTGAGGATCAACTGCCACATCTGAGTACACCCTTTCTCTGAAACAGGGCTGCTGCAATCCAGCAGATCAGATCTGTTCAAACTAGTTTTCCCTTTCATCTCCACATTTTATATTTATATAGTAATTTTTCAGATCTGGTGGTTGATCCTGCAGTCAGTTCCCTCCCTTATTTATTTATCTGTTGATAATTGTTTATTCTCTAATAATGCTGGGAATTGATGTCAGCTCCTTAAGTAACACTTATTGGATTCAGTGTAAAATGCCAAAATTTAAAATATTGATATGGAATTTCTAAAACATATCAGAACAGAGGGCATGGTACCAAAAGTACAGTTCTGCTTGGCAAGAGGAAAACAGTAATAAATTTGCATGAAACTTGGACAGCCCTAGTCACAAACAGTGTTGCAGGCTCTCCTCCGAACTTCAACCCGATATTATGGTGGCCATAAAATATCCTTACGGGGCTCAGATCTATTAAAAATATGCCGGCTCCGTATAACAAAACAAATGCTCTAACAGGGTCTCAGCGATATGTTACTTGCGGACCTGTTTCTGTGACTATACCTCACTGCCGACCGTATTCCCAGCGCCCCTAAGCGCGACGCGGAGGGGGGCTAAACTAGATGGCTGGGACTCATGAGCAGCAGCTACCGCATCTCCTGCAACTTCCTCCAATTAATTTGCTCGTGAGTCCCAGGCACCTAGTTTAGTTTCCCCATCAGTTCCGCTACGCGCGGCGCAGGGGATACGCTAGGCGGTTAGTTTAATCGCGTTTTGCGCATGCTATTATCGTCTGCTACTATCGTCTGAAGAAACTCTTGAAACTGTCAACGGTCGCTATTATCGTCTGCAATGTTGCGTCTCTTGAAACTGTCAGGTAATCCTAGTTTTGCTGCGATTTGTCCCTTGGCAGAAAGTCTGCATTTTACATATATATGCCTGAGCCCCGTAAGGATATTTTATGGCCGCCATAATATCGGGTTGAAGTTGGGAGGAGAGCTGTGTTGCATTTAGGTGTAACCTAGATAAGCTGCAGCCAAGGGCCTCACAGTCTGCAGAGGCCTCAACAAATTTCTCTTCTGATGAAAAATTCAATGGTTTTACATTTAGGAAATCAAGAAAAAATGTCCTAACTTGCAACTTACAGACTTTTAGAAGATTTTGTATAATTTCTGTGATTTTGCAAAGACATTTTTTTATTTCTTTTTAATGAAGATAAAACGACAATATATTTCCATTTATTATTTCCTAAAGTTTTATGAGGTTAGCAGGTGTAATTTAAAACGGTAGGGGCCCAGGGCTGTATATATAACATAGGGCCCCCATCAAGACTCAATCCGGCCCCAGTCACGACAGACTCCAGTTATCCCGTTATGAAGTGACCAAAGATTCCCAGAATGAATTCTCCACGTCGCCATGTATCATGTATGTCGTCTGCTAAACATCACTGCCCATCAGGTGTTGTAGCTGCTGTTATTTCCTAGGTCTCTGACAAATATATTGTAAACTTCACATGTAGTAAAACATTTAAGAAGTGACACATCAACACGAGAGTCAAAGAGACGCTGCTACATTTGCATGCCGTTGTTAGTTACATTATTTTACTAACCTGTGATGTGACGCTGACATTTGGCCGGTCAGAGACCGAACCAAAACAACGTCACGACGAATGACGAAAGTCTTGTTTCATTTAGTATTTTAACTTACTGCACCTTGTATAATTTTTTTTCTCTTTCGTATATAAACATATGAACATTCTTTATTTGGAACTGCTGCAAAAAAATAACACTTTCTTCATTAAATCACAAACCGTTTATATATACGAACGTCTCTGAAATTAATGTAATTGGCAATATTGCGAAACTAAGAACAGTTTTCTGTGCGAAGTATTTCATGTACGGGCATTCCTTTAAAATGCAATCTATAAAACAAAAAGGAACCGAAACAATGTTAAACACTACACAGTTCACTGTTCAGGCTTTGGGCAATTTTTAAAGAGGCATCGTGTGCTATTTGGGTGCTAGTGTCTACGGGTTCTGATATTCCATTTATCCATCGCTTGCCCTGTTTTCTTATCTAAGTGACAGGGCTCTCTCCCTCTCTCTCTCTCTCTCTCTCTCTCTCTCTCTCTCTCTCTCTCTCTCTCTCTCTCTCTCTCTCTCTCTCTCTGGTGCACTGGTTTACTTGGGTAAAGATTTGCCACTACAGCATTCGGGACAAGTCCATATTAGCTCCGTCTCCCTCATAAATTGTGCTTATTGTGGGGAGAGGGGGTGGGGAACCAAAAGATTCTTGCCTCTTTCAGTCAGCTCCTAGTATTGAGCGGCGGTTATATCGAAGCTTAGTTTGATTTTCAGTTTTCCATTGCGGCGTATTGTTACGCCTGAATTTCTACGAGTTTTCTACTACGCATATACTACTTTACCATGTGTTTGTGCGAATAATTTTTGTACTGATAGTACCCTTTGCCATCTGGTTAACTACTCACTCGTCTTGCATTCCCCCGAGTCTCGGGTTATGTCCGCAGACACTTCCGGCTTCATTCTACCTAGGTGCAAGATTTCACTATCTTCCATTTTCTTACCTCGCTCCACGAGCGAGAGATCACATCTGTCTTGTGCAGAGGCAGTAACACCCCCCTCCCCCACCTTCCCTCAATCCTGACTACGCCAGTCCAGCCAACCAATCTGCCTGCTCTTTCCCCAACACGCCTGAATAAATAGCCCGGGCGAAATATCCATGTGACCATCACCACCTGTAACCTCTAGATTGATCCAGATCTCTAGACTGATTCAGTGTAAGAAAACCCGACTCCACTCGTCTGAGCATGCTTTGCAATTCCAATGTTATGTCAAACACATGTAGCCGGGATTTCTGCCCACATCGGAACATCACAGTTACTGCCTCAGCCTCCATTTTCACACTGGCCTGGAATTGTCCTCCATCAGCTGTTGAACCTGAGCGTCTGCACATCTTGCAGTGGACAATCTTATGGTAGTCTTTTCACAAGCTCAAGCAATTGTGATCTTTCGTCTTCTAGTGTAGTTTAGTATTGGTTCCTTCGAATTTCTTTCCTGGTATCGTCAT